CCTAGCAGTAATGGGTACCCGACTTCGAGATGGGGAAGTAAAGGTGGTGTGGAAAGGAACTGCCCCCATCAACCACAAAATTATGCTGAAGGCCCAGGAAGTTGTCTCTATAACACGGCAATCCCCAATGTCAGGACCGGATGCGAGAACAACTTTACCTAACTCTCCAGTAACATATCTAACCTTCGGCACTTATGTGACTTTCTTGTGTTGCAAGTGCCATAAAACTTTAACTAAAACTTTAAAAAAGAGTGCCATCTAACTTCAGTTAACACAAGAGAAGCATCGAAATTTAAACGATTAAAATATTACATAGCCTATGGGCTAATACATGCTGAATGGGTGCTGGCGATATGAGAACATTCATGTAGGACTACTCTTGTAAAACCAGCCACAAAAAAATGATCTGCTTCTGTGACTCATTTCTATTTGACCATTTATTTTTCAAGTGATTTTATTATCTTTTAACTCTAAAGAGTGATTATTTCATAAAGTAATTAAGATCATTGTCAATAAGATCTTTTTCTGACGAAAGAGAAGTCTAGATCTAGATCTAGATTTAATCCTGCAAAGGCTACAGGAACAGACATAATTTGTCTTACTCAGATAGATCTAGAGACGGTTGTTTTTTTTTTACAGAAAAGCATAGCACAACAACAACAAAAATCCTTTGGCGATAACATGTCAAGAATTTACAACATTTTGAACCTCGATATGCGGTCGCACATGCACGATCATTCATTAGAAATAGATCTATTGACTAATACTAATAAAATGCTACACAATCGAGACATTGCGAAGAGTGAAACACTCGAATTTAAAGCAGTAAATGTCTCGTAAATGTGTCAGGTCAGCCTTAGTGCTGCTACCATAATGACAGTAGACGGTACTACCTGCAGCTGTTCCTACTGCCTTGTAGGTGCATACGGGTGTATGAAAGGTTAAGGGAGTAAACCCTAAACAAATCAGGAGGGAGAGCCCCTTAGGCAGTCGACAGGGAGGAAGGATCCGAACTATCTTCTGGCAGCCCCTGCAACTTTACTTGTTCCAAATGTATTGACCTCGTCTCTCCTTTTGACTAAATCAGGTAATTCGAGAGGGGGTTCGAGCAAATTGGGCAAGACACGTTCTCCATAGTCAGGCCCAGGCATTTAGCTTTGTCAAGAGCAAATACAGCGGATCAGACCCACAGCTCAACCACAGCTACAACAGCATTTATATGATTATGAAGAGGGAACTTCATCCTTGTTGTGCATGAAAGGGAAAAAACACGCGAGGTGGCAGTTTACGGGTTATAAAACATCCTTAATGGCGAAACAGGATGTTGCCACGGGTCACCTTTGACGATGGGAGTGACTATTCAGTCACACTGGTCAGCTACCGCCCGTCTCAAACTGGGCAGCCCCCAATCAGTAAGGTGTTGATCCGCCACGTCTGTTTGCTTCTATGGGTGTATGGAGCTAGGACAAAAACCGAAAGGCAGACGGTAAATCCTGCACCAAGCAAAACAAAAGTAAAACTAACCCCATGGAAACTGGGGACATGGAATGTTAGAACAATGACAACCGGATTGGACACTACAGACCTGGAGAAAACAGAGGACACCAGAAAGACAGCAATCATAGACAGGGGGCTCACACGACTCAATGTAGACATCACTGCCCTGCAAGAGACAAGACTTGCTAACTCTGGTACCATCAGGGAAAGTAACTACACATTCTTCTGGAAGGGTCTTGGGGAAGATGAGAGGAGTATCCATGGTGTGGGCTTTGCAGTACACAACAGATTGCTGAACAGGATCAGCACCCCCCAAGGTATATCGAACGTATCACTGCCATGGAAATGGATACCAAAACTGGAAAGGCTCACTTCATCAGCGCCTATGCCCCAACCCTAACATCAGAAAATGAGAAAAAAGACCAGTTTTACGAGGAACTTCAGGATACAATCAACAATGTCCCAAAAGCAGACCAACTGTTTCTCATGGGCGACTTCATGCAAGAGTAGGCACTGAAAACAAAGTATGGCCCACCTGCCTTGGACCTTTTGGGCTGGGAAAAATCAACGAGAATGGTCAGAGACTCTTAGAATTCTGCACAAATAACAACCTTTGCATTACTAGCACCTTCTACAGTGGCAAGGACAGACACAAGGTTTCTTGGTGCCATCCAAGATCAGGCCATTGGCACCAAATTGACTTCATCATCGTCAGAAAGAAAGATGCCAACATGGTAAAGCAAACAAGATCCTTCTACAGTGCAGACTGCAACACAGACCACCTTTTAATTATAGCTAAGGCAAAGCTAGTCACAAAGAAAACACCAAGAGCTGAAAAACAAAAGAAATCTAAGATCAACATAAGAAATACCAAAGACCCAGCGTTAAAAGCAAAATTTTAAGAACATGTTAATAAAGAGCTCCAACATCTAGATAGCTCATCCCCAGACAACATGTGGAATAGCATGAGATCAACAATTTATAATTCTGTGTCGATTATTTTTGGAATAGAAAGACCTTACAAGGAGGACTGGGTTGAGGCATCTCTACTCGAGAAAAAGCGTAAGTTTCTGATAGAACACAACAACAAAACCAACAGAGAGTACAAGGCAACAACTGCGTGCTGCTAAATCCAACCTTGAAAGAGAAACCAGAAAGTGTGCCAATCAGTACTGGGACAAGTTATGCTCAGATATTCAACAGGCCAGCGATACAGGAAACATCAGCATGATAATGTATGAAAACATCAGAGTTGCTATTGGACCAACAGCAAACAAAGTGGCACCTCTAAAGTCTGCGACAGATGAACAGCTGACAGACAAGAAGAAACAAATGGAAAGATGGGTGGAACATTATTCAGACTTATACTATACTCAGAGGAGCGACATGTTGATAGACAACTACATGAGGCCATTCCTCAGCTCTCCGAAATGTCAGAACTTGATACAACACCAACAGAAAAAGAACTCTACTCTGCAATCGATGAACTCGCTTGCAGAAAAGCAGCAGAAAATGACAACATACCTGCTGAAGTGCTGAAAGAGAACAAAGAGACCCTCCTCCCATATCTCTACAAGCCACTGACGACTTGTTGGCTGAAAGCAGAAATTCAACATGACATGAGAGATGCCAAAATCACCACACTTTACAAAAACAAAGGGGACAAAGGAGAATGCAACAACTACAGAGGTATCCCACTGCTAAGTATCACTGGAAAAGCTTTCGCTAGGATCATCCTGAAGCGACTTCAGAAACTAGCAGAAAGAGTCCTACCAGAGAGCCAATGCGGTTTCAGATCAAACCGCTCAACAATGGACATGATCTTTTCTATTCGTCAGCTACAAGAAAAATGCAGGGAGCAACAACTGAGATTACATACTACGTTCGTCGATCTGACAAAGGCTTTTGATAGAGTCAGTAGATCAGGACTGTATATGGTGCTTGGAAAAATTGGCTGTCCCCCAATACTGCTACAGCTCATCATCTCATTCCACGAAGATATGAAGGCCACCATTCAGTTTGACGGTTCAACATCAAACAGTTTCAACATCAATAGCGGAATAAGCAAGGTTGTGTCTTAGCACCAACCCTTTTTAGCACTTATTTTGCTGTCTTACTGCAACACGCATTCAAAGAGTCACCAGGGGATGTCTTCCTCCACTGGAAAACTGATGGGTCGCTCTTCAATCTTGCTCGACTCAAGGCCAAGACCAAGATCAACAAAACAACAGTACAAGACCTTCTCTTCGCCGATGATGCTGCTCTTGTTGTTCACAGTGAATCAACCCTACAAACAATGATGGACCGCCTATCAACAGCATGCAAGGTCTTTAGCTTGGCCATCAGTGTTAAGAAAACAGTCATCCTTACCCAAGAAGGTGCAGAACAGAGCCATATTATTATTTATATGGCTGAACAATAAGGAACTTAAGACAGTGGACACGTTCTATTACCTGGGGTCTGCCATCAGCTTTACAACATCACTTGATTATGAGATCAACATCAGGATAGGGAAAGCAGCAACAACTTTTGGAAGGCTGACAAAACGAGCATGGGAAAACAAAAGATTAACCATCAAAACAAGGATCAAGATTTACGAAGCATGTGTCCTCAGCACACTCCTTTATGGATCTGAAACATGGACCTTGTACAGCAGACAAGAAAAGCGCCTCGACATATTCCATCTCAGATGCTGCCGCAAGATCATAGGTATTTCGTGGCGTGACAAGTTTACAAATTTTGAAGTGTTGGCGCGGGCAAACCTCCAGAGCATGACAACTATCCTGTGTTTAAGAAGATTGAGATGGCTGGGCCATGTCAAGAGAATGGATGACAATCGGATTCCGAAGCAACTTCTCAATGGAGAACTTGCCCAGGGAAAGAGACAAAGAGGAAGACCAAAATTGAGGTACAAAGACACCTGCAAAAACAGCTTATCTAAGCTTGGAGTAGATGTTAACACCTGGGAAGAAATAGCTGAGGACCGGAAAACATGGAAGAAAATGATAAAGGAAAGAACTAAAATGCTAGAGAACAGCCTTAGAAACCACCAGGCTGAGAAGCACCAACGACGAAAGGAAAGCATCGGAAATACAGAGCTTCGATCTACGACACTGACATGCAAGCACTGCGACAGAATCTGTGCTTCAAACATAGGAAGAATTAGCCATGAAAGAAGCTGCATGAAGACAACCTTGAGACAATCTTAAGCTAAATTAACCGTCTGCATAGACGAACAGAGCCATACAGATGTCTTGTAAAGTAACTATGGGCAGACAAACATTCAAATATTACCCCAAACAATCTTGCTCTTCTTCATATTTCGCAAAGACAGTACCATCTGCAATCTTAAACTCTGTTCTACGTTTCACTACAGTAATTTTAAAAAGAGGCGGTGTAAACAGGAAGACGTTTCCAAGCAACCGGATTTCGGGGGTAGCCTCGAGCCAAATTTGCCTATTGCTTCCGTTTTTTTTGGGTGGTTTTTGTTGTTGTTGATCATTAAAAAAATATTGGAGTTTCACTCAGGTATCAGACAATAACGTGATCAGCAGCAGTTAAGGAAACTATTTAATTTTTTTGTTTTCACAAGGGTCACTTTCAATGCCTCTTTAATTTTTTTGTTTTGTGTTGTTTTATTTTCCTATTCTCAATTTTAAAAAAATAATAGTGCCAACAGCACCATCGGCTCGTGAAAATTTTAAAAAGTTTGATTCTGTAGGCCACAGAATTCTACACTTACAACTAAGTGTAGAATTCTGTGCTGTAGGCCTAACCAGAGGCCTAACCCACAGAATTCTACACTTCTAAGTGTAGAATTCTGTGGCCTAACCGTAAGCGCAATAAAAATCTGGGTTTTAGTTTCGATGTCATTGGGTCACTTCCGTAAACAAAGGTTCGGTTTCTTCGTTCAGGTCAACACGTGTATAGTGAAATAGTGTGTCGTGTGTAAGTCAGTTTTTTTGCAGCCTGTATTACGTTCCCGTCTCACTCGTTTTGAAGTCATTTGTCGCTGCTGAAAGAAAATAATAGGACCTATCTCTTTGGCCGATCGTGGACAGTGTTGAAACAAGCGAAGATGCCAGCCTGTATCGTCTGCTCTACAGAAGCTCCGAAATACAGATGTCCACAGTGCCTCGAGCAGTAGTAAGTTAAACACAGTATCACAGTACAGTAGCCTATAATACTCTACAATTATCAAACATTCTTAAAGGTAAAATTAACTCTAAAGATATACGAGAAATTGAATATGACATCACCGTAACCCTGTTTGGGTCACTTGTCTCCCTGAATTCCTGAGTCAGTTATGAATGAATGATGATGAATCAATTTCAAGCAAAAGGCTTCCGCTAGAAATCTACGCTACGGAGTGATTATTCTCACCCGGGGTGAGGAAAAACTGGATATTATTCTCACGGTGAGAATAAAATTGATACTACTCTCACCCGCAGTGAGAATAACGACAGCCTACTAGAATCTAGATCTCGATAGAATCTAAACTGACGCGTTTGTTTTCCCCACGCATCGCACTCACACCTGAGCTCGCCACCTAAGCTTGCTTCACTCGCTGGGTGGGTAGGGCCTACAAGTTCGCTCCTGGCGGGATCACATCGAACCGTGAACTCCTCCTTGACCATTGCAGGAGTTGTCTCTACTCCTGAATTTGTGAGACAGACTGAATTTTAATTGGTGCGTTCACAACATAATGGTGTGTAACGACAAAGGCGGTTTGGCGGGTGGGGGGGGGGGGGGCTCGGTCAGAGATGGAAAGCTATAAATTTTTGACAGGTAAAGAGGAGGGGCAACTGGATAATCGTAGATCCTGAGACTCATGATAGGATAATAAGTGAAAATGGCTCGCCTCATGCCACTATGCACCGTGATGATAGGTCATCAAGGTTAACTACTCTTTGCTCGCCATATGCCATACCCACCAAGGGGGCACGTCAGCTCATTGTAGAGTGGAGGGAGACCATTTTACCAATTGTGAGCCTTAACATGGGTCAACAAAGATTCTTTCCTGGGTTCGTCGGTTAAGATCCCGGCTCGCCTAAGATCCCGCGTTTCCTTGCTCCCGAGCACCGGGATCTTAGGCGGAGACTACTGTACCTGTACTATACGTGGCTTTTTTTAACCAGCTTGTAAAAAAAATATCATTTCAGTTAATACAATTTAATCAAACCATATGGACTAAAAAGAAACGCATGATTTGGAAGACATTGAGACTCTTGTCAATGCAATAGGTACGTGCCTTACAAATAAAAGACATCAAGACATTAAAAGATCAACGAAAGAGTTGCAAAGTTACAAAGAAACATTAAGAAATTAGATGTCCACCTACAGAATTTTCATCATAATTTCAAAATTATTTGTAACCACCCCCCCCCCCCCCCCCTTAAAAAAAAACAAAAACGGCAAGGGGATCTGTATCTGGGTCTTGTTACTGGCATTGATCCACTTTTTCTTTTACCTTTTCTTCCCAGTCATGAGCAAAACGTTTATCTCACAGAAGTGTCATATTTGGTTAACCTCCCCACCCAATCTTACACTTTTTTTACAGAAGCCAAAGACACCCTTTCCCCTCTGAGGTGTAAGTTTATATTTTGAACGGCCCCTATAGGCCTAGATCTAATACATTGAGGCATGTCGCGTACATGAGAGGCAGAGTAGGGTCGATTTTCGAGGATCGCCGTAAAAATAGCCTGGGACTCACTGGGAGGCTATCTTTAGGGCACGCCGTAAAAATAGCCTGGGAAGCTATCTTTACGGCTCGCCGTAAAAATAGCCACTGCGTAATAATAATGGATTGCATTTATATAGCGCATATCCACTTTTATGCAATGCTCTACTCTATGCGCTTAACATGATACACATATATTATGGATTTACAAATCAATTTTAAAGGCACATAGTGTTACATACTCGTGCACACACATATTCATGCACGCACGCACCACACACACATTTACACATACACGTACATATGCACGTATACGTACATACAAACTCACAACGATCTACAGCTTGGATGGATTCTGTCTAATCGAAATATGATGAAAATATAAATGCTTTTCGTTTCTTCTCATAAAAATTTCTAGATTTTCTGCTTCTGTGATAGTTTTTGGAAGCCTATTCCAAACGAGTGGGGCAAAATATGAAAAAAGAGCGTTATGATTTGTAATTTATTTTAGGCTTAACAAAGGTTGTTTTGTCACTTGATGATCTGAGCGTTCTAGGAGTAGGAGGCACACATATAAGGTGTTAAAAACTGTTTTAGATAGTCCGGTGATAAATCATGTGAGCACTTGTAGCAAGTTAAACAGATTTTATATATATATATGATACGCTCTTTCACCGGGAGCCAGTGTAATTCTTTTAAAATAGGAGTCACATGATCATGCTTTAGTTTCTTAGTAATTATTTCTGTTCTGTCTCTCCATCTTCCCCCTCCCCCCCCCTCCCTTTCTCTTTTCTCTGTGTATCGCTCGCCTTCTCTTTCTCTTTGTTTGTCTCTGTCTTTCTTTCTCCGCCTCCTACTTTCCCACTCAATCTTTCTCTTGTTCCCTCCCTGTCAACTGGGGCATGTGATATTTGCTAGCACTTCCCCCTGTTTTTTACCCCCTTCTCTCTCTCTCTCTCTCTCTCTCTCTCTCTCTGTCTCTCTGTCTCTCTCTCTCTCTCTCTCCCTATGTCTCCCTATCTTTGTCTCTCCCTCTCTCGTTTTCCTTTTCCCTCTCCCTCCTTCCCATATATATTTAACATAATTATTATAACATATTTATAACACTGTTTACCTTTGTTCATGGAATTGAAATAATAGTAATAGGCCTACACCCACTTAATGCAATACAGTGGCGTGGAACTCGGATTCAACAAGATAAGATAGATTCTCCGTTTTTCTTCTTCTTTAAAATCAATCAAAATAACCCGGATTCATCAAGCACTTAAATCAGCGAGCTCGGATTCAATGAGGTCGCTTCCAGGGTGAACAACCCCCGCAGACGTGGCTTCTCTCATTTTTCTCCCGGAATGAACTTTATCTATTCGCAGAAACCATCCATTGCACCTGCATTGTGAACCATTATTCGCTTAGCTGATTGCATGCGACCAATCAGCGGCCTTTTTTCGTACCAACACATGTATTGTTGACACGCACATGTGTCTGCTTTGGCTTGTGTCAGAGTCCCATAGGCAGCCTGCACACATGTGGCTGTGTGTGCGTGTCGGGGGGGAGGGGGCACTAGCGGTCTGGGCGTTGAACGTTGAACGTCGCAGATACAAACGCGTCAGTTATTTTTTTTTTCCCCCTCAGCAACTGATCACTATTACAATGATAAGCTAGTCTTGATGTAGATCTACATAATGAATTGTGCTCTGGTCTATGGAATCAAAAGTTTCCGTATGCAAGGCTCTACACAGCAACACAACTTTTTGGTAAACAATCGAGATGATTCAGACGTGTGCATTTGAACGAATCTGTCTTTTTTTTACACTGCTCATAATATGCAGGCTTTTCAGGCACTACTTGTGACTTCTCTTTATAACATTACTTGCTTTATCTACACAAAACATCATGTTTGCTATAACGAACACCCGGATTCAAAGAGATTTTAGGTCAGGCCTGGCGACCTCGTTAAATCTGAGTTCCGCTGTATCAATAATGCACGTACAAGTCTGAATTTTAACTCATTCCTTTTGACTTTTGTCTCCACAGTTGCTCTGTAAAATGCTGTAAAGGTCACAAAGGTAATCTCTAAACAAATAAATGTTGAAAGACTTTGACTTTGATTGTTATAGACTTAATGTTACATTTTATAGGATCTACTTTGTATATGGTCAGTTATTTTAATCCTCTTCAGCATGATATACAACCATTGTTCTATATATGGGAATGAAAGATTTCCTACAAATACTGGTTTGCTTTGAAAATGAAGAATGTTGCCTTTATGCCTAGCAAAAGAGGACCCAACTTTTCCACTGGTGTGGTGCAATTCACATTCCAGAGCCCTCCGGCATGGAGGTCATCCTCTTTTGTATATTGTATTGTATGCACCTATTGTAACTTATGTGCTGCTGCAATTTTTATTTTAAAACCTGTTAAAGGAGGCTTGAGTCAGGCCAATGATTTATATTAGACTTACGAAACCCGCCTTAAAGATCATATATTTGTGTCAGGTAGCGTGACGAACTCCACTGCTCGGTGTGAGGCTCCACCATAATGTAATTTTTTAATGGCGTATAGCGGAGTCTTACACTAAACAGTCATGGTGAAAACTTAAGTATGATTATTTGTTTTACTTATTTGTGATTTTTGTTTTCAGAGCTTTGTCAGAAACAGCCCAAAGAACAACCAAACCATCAAGCCCAAATTGCCATACCTAGTGAAGACACAGATGGACTTCCCCCAAGTGAGTGTAGTTTCTGAATTATTGTATTATTTATAGATACTAAGCCCCGTTGTTACAGCAATAGCTATCATTTTAAAGATTAGCAATGCACTTTGGAATACGACAATTTCATTTGTATTTGAAAGGAAGACAATTCATAGAATTTCACCAGAAAAATATATGGTTTTATTTACTGTATTTGCTGTATGTGGTTGGAGGGTTCTACTGGTAGGTCCTACTTCTTTGCTTTCTTTCTGTTGTTTTTGTCTGTCTTACTTTTCCCCAGCACGAAATGACCTTTATTGTGTTGATGTGCTTCTCTTTACTCAAACAAACAGTACACATATATATACTTGGCGTAAAAAAACCAACCAGACACCCCTTTTTTTGGTGTTTTTTGTATTGAAAGACTGATTTTAACCAGAAACAATATCTCTATAAGGAAAGTTTGAACATTTTACAAATCAATTACACAAAAAACAATTTTAAAAAATGAACTTTATTTCCTGAAATTTGATATTTTAATTGTAGGCCCTTAAATGAAAAGTCACAGTTAATACTGCGTATAGCCGCCGTGGGCATTGGCGACTTCTGTGCACCTCTGCCGCATGCTTCGCACAAGTCTTTGTATGGGATGCTGTGGATTGTTGTTCCATATGTTTGTAAGTGCTGTACGTAGCTGATCCAAGGTGACCGGCTGAAGTCTAAGAAGCGATCTCGTAGGTTCTCCGTCCCTACCACTCCTGGGCTGGTGTTGTAGCTCTAGGAAGCGTAGGTGCAAGACCCGAATGTACCGGTCATGGGCTGGTGTTGTAGCTCTAGGACGACCCGTCTGGGGACCATCCTGCACGGATCCAGACGTCTGCAAACAATTCATTGTCGATATATCGTGTCTCTTGTCAAATTGAAGGTCCTTGCAACATTCGCTACTGGCGTATTGGCCCTCAGCATACCAACTGCCTGATTGCGCTCTTCGTTCGTTAAACGCGGCATGCTGTATCTTTAGATTTAGATGTTTTGAAATGAAACTTTTAACGTTTTATTCTTGGCTACAGATAAAAGATGTGTTAAACCCATAAAATAAAATTTAAAAAACCAAAAACGTTCGAGAAAAATGACAAAACTTGGTTTTTAACAAAACAAGACCTGAGCTTTATTAACTGGGCACCTGATCATAAATGCAGGCTGATCAGGAGCGTCAAGTGTTCACAATCATGTGTGGAAAATTTCAGCTCAATGGGTTTTCAACTTTTCATGAAACACGCAATTAAAATGTGTCTGTGTTTTTTTTACGCTAAGTGTATACCTACTGATACTGACAGCATTTATCTCTTTCTCCAGTCTCCCCTTGAACTTACTTCAATTTTTCTTTCTTTGTCGGTCAAACATATTCTGGTGAATACTGTCATACTCTTTTTGTTTTCTGAAATGCATTTAAAATCATTTTTGTTGTTTTGTCTCAGTTTCAGTTTGGTTTCATGTTTTGCAGATCCTCGACGGGTGAAACTGAGCGGTAATGATGCTTTTGAAGATGATGCTGAAAATGAGGACAAAGTTTCAGAAATATTGTTACAGCAGCTGGGTAATAATACCACACGTTGCAAGTTCCTTCAGTTTCAATACATTTGTTACCAGCAAATGTTTGCCCGCGATTGCTTGTAGGCGAATAACTTTAACTGTGCGTTACACTATGGGAGTAAAACAATTATTATTGGAATTGTCTTCTAGCTGTATTTCTATTTGTTTTATGGGTGGATGTTCTCATACATCTGACTCTTCAGGAAAGGTGCTCTTGAAATTTCTATTTCCTTAGATTCTCCATATACACAATTTTTGTGCAGCATATTTATAGGAAATGGTGAGAGATTTGAATAGGATGAAATGATCCTTTATCGGCAACTGAGAGGTATATGATGTAACAGTTACTAGTTACCTCAAAATTGAGGGTAGTGAAAAAAATCCTAAGGCTTGAAATTTTTTATTTATTTAATGCTGCCTTTATTCAAGCTTTTTTTTTCCAATAGTTGAGTGTTAGACCAAATATTTTAACTTCATTATGAATGGTTCACTACACACAAGAAGACACTGTTGCATTGCATAGAGAAAAATAGGTTTGTTGCTTCGATTAAAAAAAAAAAAAGAGTTTGTGCCCCAAAGTGCGCAGACTACTGAACACTTGTGTTTATTTGTTTATGATATGTAATGCCCTTTAATCTATCGTGTTTATTAATTTTTTTCTCTCTCTTTTGAAATACTGGTATTATATAGGTGTTTTACACCCCCTGTTGACAAAATTTACATGTATATCATTGTTGTTTCATGTTGTGTTTTTGTCCCCTTTGTAGGAAAGAGTGAGGAGCTAAAGTCCACCCTGTGTAACCCTCACCTGAGAGCCATAATGGAGAACCTGGTCAACTCTGACCAGCCTGGGCGTGCCCTGTCTTTGGCCATGCAAGAACCAATCTTCAAAGAGTTTGCTGATGTCTGTCTCAGTTTAGTTGACCGGGACAATCCAAATCTGGAGCCTGAAGGTTAGTAATATATGTATGTCCATCTTCAGCTTGGTTGTTAAAAGTTTATTTTTTAAGTGAGCGCTTGGTTTAGTCATAGTGAAGTCAAATACAGTGGAGTCCTCTTAAATCGAAAGCAAAGTTTGAGAAAAATCTCAAAATTAAATCATCAATGTTGTGTACAGTTGTTGTGTGCAGTTGTAGTAATTTATTTTACACTGGGACTTTTTTTTAAATGCACACTTCAAATTTTAAATGACAAATTAATTCCTTACAAGTACCAGTTATTTTAATGCCCCAGGGAAAATCATAACAAACTGCTTAACTCCGGGGCCCAAGTTAAGTGTTTACCTGAGATTGTGTTACCCTTTGACCCTGCCTCTTGAGAGCTCACATGGGCTGAGGAGAGGGATACAGCGTCTCATTAAAAATACCAAGATACTCAATGGAAATTCTCCTTACTTTGGAATTAAACTCAAGTCATCTGCCTGCAATGGCAAAGTGCCTTAACCCTTCACCACATACATCAGTGTGCCCCAGCGTGCAGTGGTATGTAAATCTAGCAGTCAGGCCAAGGGAACTGGGATGCATGGTTCCTCCAGGCTCATGGGATCAGGGCTCAAATGTTTAGAAAATTTTTGTCAGTTGATTCAAATTCTGATGACGGAATCTGGGCTCATTTTCATATACAGTGGGTGCCGCATTCAACGAGGTCACATTCAGCGTGAAGTCGACTCCAACTAGGCAATCCTTAATCCCCGATTTTTCCCTCTATATCTCTTTGTAAATGTACATCAGCTCCAACGAGGTTGCAAACAGACCAAAGTCGCTTTCAACGAGGTCGCGATAACCAAATAAAAGCAATTAAAACCGAAGAATTCGTCTCCTTTCTCTCCATGTCATGCAAAGCACAAGGCCCCTCCTCCATTCCCACTGCATTGTATTGCTATTACTAATATCATGTGCTCCAAAGCCAACAGGATTGGCGAGGGTTAGCAGCGATACTGAGAAGGCCTAGGGTGGATGGGAACGCGATGCGGACTGTGTGAAACTGGATGAACTCTGGATGGGTAGATCAAGATCGAGACCTTCATTTTTTTTTTCAATTTTCTTTTCTTCCCCAGATCAGAAAATCCAAGCCTTCGCTTTTTCTTTATGTAGATCTAAGCCAAGATGTGAGATTGTATGTTTCCTCACGAGAAGTGTTCCGTGAAAATTTTTAAAAATGCAGAAATGACGGTCAGAACACAGCCAAAACACGCTCACACTGATCTGATTCTGTTTGAGACTTTCGGAATACCTGTTTTAATTACTGGTATTGGTACATCGTGTAATATAATAACTTGCCTCCTTTCTTTTCTTTAGCCTTAGTCACGTTTAACGAGAGGTCGGATCCAACGAGGACAAGCCGGTCCCGGCAAGCTCGTTGAATGCGACACCCACTGTATTACAATTACATATTAAATCTTTAAAACTGCACATAGATGCATTTGTTGAATGTGAAGCAGAATTTAGAGTTTTGTTTTGATAAGTGCAAGTTGTTGTTTTTGATGTTCTGATTGGTTTACAGTTGTTTTTACATTTTGTCTCACTTTCTTGTCTTTTGCACAGTTGTTTCGTAGTTCTAGAAGCCTGTCCTCATGGTTGATGATAACAGAGACAAGTGACTAAAACTGTTGGGAAATGCTCTACCAAATCCTCACACCAAACAGTACTGGACGCTTGGGATACAACATACTCATAATGGTTGAGATTGATGGACTTGTTCAGCCCGGGGCGGGGATTTTAGGGCCCTTCAGTATCGAGAATCTTGTTTTGCACTTAGAGAAAAGATGATGGAACCGACAGTGACTATCTTAGACCCAAAAGTGTTGTGGACTGTGAGCATGTTGCATTTTTGTGCAGGTCTATAAGGATTACCTTACATGCTGGAATGCTCATCAACTTTGAAATCCTGTTGAGAGTGAATGCAAACTGCTCTCTATTAATTACGTGTAAATTCATCTTGGCTTCATTCTGGCTCTGACACAGTGCAGTTTCTTTATTTTAGAATTTTAGAACACATAGTTGGGCAAATGCTGTGTGTTATGATTGACACTGTTGTTGTAAGAAAGTATTGTCAGACTCAAGAGACTTGGTGTTGAACGAAGGGTATGACAGGACTGCAGTGAATGTTTTGCTGAAGTGGTCAGCTGCTTCAGTTTTGATTTTAAAAAGTGGTTGTTTGAATTCATGTAAATAATGTACAGATCAGAAAGATGAAAGAATGGAAAGTTTATTTTCTGAAATTGTTGAATGAGGAAGATAACTAGTCATAAATGATTATATCTTATGACTATTGTTGAACGATTGAGGTTTTTGTTGTTGCAATTTTGTGATTTTTACCTTGCACTGTTTTCATTAATGAATGCTCATGTTCATAAACAGAATGCACAATGAAACTGAATAAAAATGAAGAGATGATAACTATTGTATTTGCTGGTACCTATTATCAGTTTATGTTTTCGTTACATAATGTAAAAATACAATATAGCGCACTAAATTGTTGGAAAAGACTGTCATTTAATGAGCTCTTCACTTCTAGAAAAGCAAGGAGTGTGTGAAACATTTAGAGCAAAGTTAGTGAGAAAATGACCACCAAAGTTTGTTAATTTCCAAAGCTTGAGAGTCCATGGAAACAAAATTTACATTGTTGTGCTGTTAATCGTTTTCCAGGGAAATCCACACAGAAATATGTTATTAAACGGGCATAAAAGGTGTTCAGCCAAAAAACAAAATTGTCAAACTAACAGCAAAATTACGATGTCTTCGATTTCACTATTTTGTTTAATTTGACGAGCGCCTGATTTCACTGCGATGCCTGGCAAACAATGAGACAACAGTCTCGGCAAATTGTACAAGCTATCTGTGATTTCAAGTTTTCCGTGTTCATTCTATCTGAAAACTTTAAATCACAGATAGCTTGTACAATTTGTCATTGGGGGGGGGGGCTTTAATACGACATGCAGAGATATTATATATTACATAATGATGAGAAAAAAGTAAATTACCGTACCAGTCAGTACCAGAACATAAAAAAGAAAAGCCCATTTTTTTATCAAAATAAAATATGGTGACATTTAAGAAGCACTAGTCCTACTGGCCTAAGTAACCCCCCCCCCCCCCCCCCCCCATAGAGAGACATGCAGAAAATTATCAACTATAATTAGAATTTTCATTCTAGTAATAAGTAAGCCATATTAGAACCTAATTATCAATGTTAAAAGCATGTGGTGATACAGTGTTTCAAATAACTTAGTAAAGTTTGAAGGCATGTTTCCACATGAAAATTTCAGCACTTGGTGGTAGCTGTCTTAGCTCAAGAATAACTCTACCGGTACTCTTCACAAAATATTTTCTGCTGATCTACTTGTACATAAAAATTAATGTAAATGGTATATATATTTTTATTTGATCTAATTACAAGTACCTAAACTAAATAAAATGGTCATAAATGGCATTCAAATATTGATAAATCTTTTTTCCAGTAAGTGGCGTAAGTTACCTCGGGTGGCCTAAGTAACCCCGAGTTACGGTAGCATTTGTATAGCATTTCTTATCCCCCCTATTATTACCTCATCAGACCATTGAACACTCAGAAACATTCTCAGCTTCCAGGGAAGCATAATAGTGCTAGCAGCTGTCTATAGTCTAAGCCCTCAAACACTAACAAACTGACAAGATCTTTCATTTTCTCAAGCTGGGTACCCATTCCCACCTGGGTGAAATGAGGAAAACTAGTGTTAAGTGCCTTTCCCAAAGACAACATTGGCCCCTGGCGGGATTTGAGCACACGGCCTTACGGTTGCCAGTCTGAGAGCTGATACTTTGATTCAGTTTATCCTTTATATTAAGCTCACTTTCTAGATGATGTTTCATGGATAGTTTACAGCAAAGCCATAATATAAAAAAATGTCGGCATTTCACACGATACGAACCAAGTCAATAGAAATAAAAAATGCGCAGACCACCACCGCAGATTCACTTTTAACCTTGATATATTGGTAAATGTACCGGTACCAGTATATTTTATACATAGTTTTAGTAAGGTTTTACGACGCTCACAACTGCATAAGGTCATACGAGCGCCAAGGGGTGGATGTGGGGGCTCTCGTGGCCTAGAGGTTAAGGGGTTGACCTCTTATTCAAAGGTCCCGGGTTCGAATCCGGGTGATGACAAAAAAATTTTCTTCTCTAAATTTGTCTCCCCCTTTCACCTCCTTTCCTGCTCTCTATGTTCTGTCATCTGCTTTCATTTCCACTTTCTGCCCCCAACCCCTCACCTCCTTTGCCCCCTCCTCTGGGCTCCTGACTCTTTCTGCAGCCTTTCTACTGCTACTCCTTGGCTCCTTACTGCTGTCTTTCTGCCACACCCCTGATCTTCTGGTAGGAAAGATCTACACCAAGCCTTCTCGGACAAGGGCGAAAAATCTCGGAGGGCCCGTGTGCAAGTTGCCCACGTTAAAGATCCCTTTGTGGTCTAAAATCTATAAGAGTAGGCTTCGGCTGCCACTCGGGCAAAATTCAAAATTTCCTACCAACTGTAAATATTAGGTGTGTCCCGCGCGCTTATATGACCTTATGCAGTTGCGAGCGCCGTAAAACACTTTACAAAAACCAAATAAAAAAAGGGTGGATGTCAACAGAAGTTCCAATGGATTTTATGCATAATATGTAATTATTCTTCTACTAGATCTAGTACATGAGCACAACAAATTTTCAACAAAACAAAATAAATTACAAGGTTGAATCTGACATTTATTTACAGTGATTATACAAGGTGAACATACAATGTACACCACTTATGCTTTGTGTTGGTCTTATTATTAACATAAAGGTAAGCTGAAAACAGCAACAACAATCAAAATTGTGAATGCTTAACTTCAAACTTCAATCATGGCAATAATGTGTATTTGTCAAAAAGGTCATCAACGTAAGTCCTTTTATTTTTAGCAGTCACTGTCAACAATTTTTTCCTACTTCAGCAACTGACAATTTGACGGTCACTGAAGGAGCCTTCAGTTAGATATGTATGAAGAATAAGGGTTTCTTTGTGCACATCAATTACTAGAGATCTCTAACATTATGCATGATGATTGATATGCAATTGGGGTAAAAGTAAAATTAAATACATTATTTTAACCAACACCTCTCCTCCCTATACGAACTGCAAGGGCAGGAGCAAAGTACACCAACTCCCCCCCACCAAATTCCCCTACCTGCCTCAAAGTCAAAGCACCTGCGATGAAGGCATTGAAGGTGTGTCGATTATGCAATGTAGGTGAAAATGAACCCTTTTTAAAAAAAAGTGCACAGTGGAATGTAGAGGAGTCAAAAGTAGCACAATACAGGTACATTTGAATATGGATGAGTCTGTCGTCGGGGGAGTGGAAAAAGACAAACTCATCCGAAGTTCGACTTAACAGTTGGGACCTGAAAAGGAGAAGAGGTGCTGGGACCCGAGAAAAAGATCAACTTAACCGAAGATCAACTCTAGTGAGTTCAACACAAGCAGAGTCGACTAAGCTTTCAGTACCGGTACATGATGATCTTAAATAGGAATCTCATCGGCATTTAACTTAAGTACTTAAGCAAGAAAAAATATCTTGGTGTCTGAATTCAGCTGAAACGCAGGCGATTTTTCATAAAAACGAGAAATGATTAAAAATTAAATACAAAGTATTGACACATCAGGATCATTTGCTGATTGCTATACAACATGCATTTTGTGACTTTTAAAATTTGTGTAGTGAGGAGAAGTGTGACACATGCGTGGGCTTAACAAGTATATGGGGTGTGTTTTTTTTGTTCTTAATGCTTGTCATCAAAATTGACTCTAATTATATACTAGTTGATTTTTTTAGTAAAAGTACTTATTATTGACCAATTACTTGTGGTGTGAAACCTCCAGCAAGTGTTGCATATTACATTTACATGTTCAGGAAAAGCTTATGTAGAAGAGGGGGGAAAAGTTGTCTATCACTATCACATCAAACATCAACAATTTCAGGGTCGGTATGACTCCACCTTCATCTACCTGATGGGACGGAGGACAGCAAGGTCTGACACATGCGAATTTCATCTTGCTGGGTCACCCCCCCCCCCCAACAGAATAGCACGACAATGGGAATAGGGAAACAGAAATATTAGTGAAAGAATCGGACATGGAAACGAAGAGTTCCACTGTACAAATCTCGGGGACTCAGAAACTCATCAGGTATGGTATTCACCGGTCAGTTTGTGACTGTAATGTTCGAGCTCTGCCAGCGTTGGACTTTTCTCACATTTTCTACACGGGGTGGTAGGATTGAGCACCTAGTCTTCTCAGCAGATATCAATGGAACATTTTGGAGGTCCTGCGTGGAAATTTCGCGCGTCTAATTAAAATCCCTAGCTGATTTTAAAATCGAATAGAGTAGGCCCTACAACAAACTGGTTAAGCGCCATATTCATCAGTTTCCACTGCTTTTCATCTCCTGAAAAACATTTGTTTTTCACATATATTACATATAACAAAATACAATCCTGAATTTAGAATCATATCGGCAAAAATCTTTTCAAGAACACCATTTTGTCATAAAAGTAAAAGTGAAATCGAACTTAAGAAGGCGAAGTGGGAGATGAGACAGCAAAATTTTACCATTAAACAGTATTGAATACCATACAACAGTCTCAAGCAAAACCTTCACTAATCCATTGCTCACATCCAGACAATCTACACTCAGCACAGTGGTGAGCTCAATTCATGGCACATAAGTAGATTAAAGCATTCAAAAGTCAACTCCTCTGTACATGATATACATTGTTATAATGCAAGGCAAAAAGAAAGGCAGAATGACCAAACAAGCCTGTATATTTGAGCAAGCACTTTCGTAAAGGTGTCTGGCATACGAAATGGCCAAGTCTGAGATTCCCTAAACAAAATTCAATTTGTATTGGAAAGAGTCTTACACTTTTACAGCTTTTTAAACTCATATTATAGGTCATATAGGGGCTGAAGATTAGAGGTGTTACAAGAGAGTAACAAATACAAAAAAAGAGAAGGAAAGATAATGAAGACAGATGTTTGACAGGAAAGAAGGAGCAGACCACATCAGAGCACCCACCAACAACCCACAAGAAATGCCCAGTTGTATTAAAACATGGCTCTGCAACATAAGAAAATGCGTGTTAAATCTACAAAAAAAAAGAAAGAAAAGGGCCCAAACATTACCAGGTTCTCACATTCAATATATACAAACTTAAGTATCATCATGGCAGAGCTACATACTGTTTTCCCCTCTCTTCTGAAAAATGTTTTTCCGGACTTAAGAACTTGCCCGGAGACTATCAACTTAAAAGCACAATCACAAAAACACGAAGTAGTTCACACCAGACATATCTTTCCTTTTCGTTTAAAGTAGGGTAAGCTATAAATTCAAACACCTCTACATAACCACCATAAAGTTATCATAAGATATGTTATTAAAACATGAACTGAGCTAATGACGTGCTAGGCCTATTGTACATGTATTATATTTCTACTTTATAATTTATACATTACAAAACCCTTTAAAAAAAAGAGCAAAATCAGATAAACAGGAAAGAAATTCCTTTCCCCCGCCAACAGCCTATTTTTCTTCAGCCTCTGTACTTAAATGTAAACAAACTTTTAATTACTTTAAATATATTAATATTAATTACAATTCATGAGCAGTAATTTAACTTGTGAAATACTGAAGGCTTCAAGAGCTGGGTATATCATATATGGCTTGAATACAATATAAAAATACTGAAGAGCATAAAAACCTGGAATGATTTTTAGTACCATTCTACTTCTACAATGCAGAAATGAACAAACACAGTGAGAGAAAAAAGTGCAGAGCTCAACATCGATAAATGATTAACCATTGTTATAGTGGTATGTGGAATGCCCTGGAGACTAAAGAAAAATGCAAAGATTACAGAATTACTGGCTATTTCTTCAGGGAGATAAAATGTGGCTTGGCATTCATATACAATGAAATTCGATAAAACAATTCAAAATCGTACTATGCAAATTGCAACACAAAAATAGAGCGTTTGCACAAGTAATGTTATAAAGTTAGAACACTGCCAATTCATCATAAAGGACACTAAGTGTGAGCATGCTTGGATAAATGAGCTTAAACAATCATGCATTACAATATGTTAAGTTTAAAACGTGAGGCGTGCTGACAAAACTAATTATTTTTCAGGTTTTAGTCCTATGGGTATAGATATGTCAGATTTATAATATGCTGAGCTTGTAGCCTACAATTTTTTAGTATTAGTATGAAATGATAAAAGACGTAGTAAACTTGAAGAAAATGTCATCGGTTAAATCTACAAATTTGATTTTCGGTCAATAATGCCATTCCTGGATTGCGAGAAGTAGGCCTACTCCATTTTGTCAGCACACCTCACAAACAAAAAAATATGCATGCTGATAAAGGTTGAAAAAAAACCCAACACCATCATAAAAAGATAATAACTACGGGTCTGCTCTAGTACAATGATTTACTAAACTAAAAACATCCATGATTGACATAAAAGCAAAGTGAATTATAATTTGATCCATTGCAGAAACACTGAAGCAATTAAGAAAGACTTTGTAAGGGGGGTAATATTACGCTGAGTATTGGTTCAACACTGAAGAGGATTATACAATTTCATAACTGAGTCGAAAACACAAGGAAACCTCAGTGCTTCCAGATAGTGCTCTGAATAATATTGATTGTGTGTGTGTGTGTGTGCGTGTGAAATATTTCCAATATGAGAAAAGAATAAAATACAATTTTTGTAAAAATTTTACATGCGGTATATATATAGGCCTATACAAATACAACATTAAAAACAATCATAAATCACCATGTTATGCCAACATAAAACACATGTGTAGTGCGATGAAAAGGAAGACAGGTAAGGAAGGTGCTATCTGGCACACGATATGACATAAACAGAAACATTTCAGAGAGGACAAAAAGAGACTCGATGTTATTCTTAAGAAAAAGGGTGCTCAAACACATCTGTACTTTTAAATTTTGACGTACAGTGGAAACCATATATAACAGGCCCTGTAATAACAGGGATCCGGTAATAACAGGGATTTTTAAAATCCCCGTTTTTTCCTACTCTTTGTCTCTATTAAAAGTTATCGGCAATAACAGGGCCTCATCGGAGCCCAACCGCTTATAGCAGGGACAAAGGCTCGTTAACAATGTGTAAAAAGTGTGCGTGTGTGTGTGTGTGTGTGTGAGAGAGAGAGAGAGAGAGAGAAAGAGAGAGAGAGTAACGCAGTGATGGAGCAAGCCCACGCAAGCCATGCCACAGCAAGCACACGCAGCTTGTGAAGCGAGAGAGGGCTGAGGTGTGCTGCAGACCTCGATCTAGCCCGAAACCTAGCAACACGTTTGCGTAATGTGTCACCAACGATGTCAATCGCAAGAGAAAATGCCTTTCAATTGACAAAAAATACGAAATAATCCAGGCTGTTGACAAAAAGCAAGCTCCACTGGCAGAGATTTGTTGTCAGTTCGACATTCCACAAGGGTCGATTCACACCATTATTAAAGATAGAGAGAAGAAAGTGGCTGCATACTGCTATGGGAAGTTTGCTCTGGATCGAAAGCAGATGAGACTACCCGATGCAGATGCCGTGGACCAAGCTCTTCCGATGTGGTTAAAGGGGGCAAGGAGAAAGTTGGTGCCAAAACCCCTGTTCGTGGGTACTTGTGGCAAGGGCAACTACCCATGAATAAGTACAGCTGGATTAGTCCCCAAATGCTTACTTCCCTTGCATTTCTGATTTAACAGGGATCGGATATAACAGGACATTTTCTCTACTCCCACCATCCCTGTTATATCAGGTTTCCACTGTAGTTGTGCCATTTACCAGTTTTGCTATAAATTACTATGCAGAGATGTAGGTGGAGTATAGACGAGAGGAAGACTGTTAGCCACTTGGATTTTTTATTTGTTTTAGTAAGAGATTTACGGCACTTGCAATACAATTATGTTGTAATATAAATGCTGAAGATTAGAGGTGTTACAAGAGAGTAACGAACACAAAAAAGGAGGAGAGAAAAGGATGACGGATGTTTGATAGGAAGGAAGGAGCAAACCACACCAGACCACCTTCCAACCACTGACTGCTAGCCTCTAACTCTAGAGCTACCAGTTCTGGTTTGTGCAAGTATAGTCAGCACAGAACTTTAGTTTCCTTGTCACACCCGTCATCATAGAGAAAGATTAAGAAAGATCAAGGACCTTTTCTTTGATCGGGATGAAAACCCTGTACATCATAGTAACATGTAAAAGACCCACAAACAATTAAAACTCGCAGAATTCTAATAATAAATCTCTATATCCGAAACTGGATAGCCTCAGTGAGTGAGATCACCCTTGCAAACAGCATGCATCTGCATTTATCTACCTATTAGCTCAAAGAGACCACATTGTAACAGGAAAAAAGGCCATATCTCTAAATATCTGTTGCACAATATTCAATATGGTAAATTAACATCGGTGAGATCCAAAGAAGGAATGCAAGAGAAAATAGCCACAAGATACTTGAGACAATTTCAAAGGAATCTCATTGGGGTAATCATCAGGTTGAAGAGTTACTGATGAAAAATGTTTTAGTTTTACAACCCCATCAACACAATTGAGACAATTTAGGAGGTAGGCTGCTCCAATCCTGTCTGTCTGAGGCCTTCCGGGCCGTTTGAGATATTCAAAGAGTAGAAAGACAGAAGGATTCAACAACACTACCACAAAACTACCCCCCCCCCCCCCCCCAACATATGAGAATCTGATTCGGAATCACATCTTTTGCTTCCAAGGCGAGAAGCATAATCATTATTCAACAGACGCTAGTGTTGAGATGAATGCTCATACCAGGAGCTTGAAGTCAAATAACATTTATTCTTCGATATTTTTTGTATACAGCTTCAAACTATGATTTTTATTCATTACAATAATAAGGGGTAGTTGGGTCGCAGTTTACAGGGAGCAGCACTATGGAAGGCACAAGAAATGGATTTGAAAAATCCAAAAAAGGAGCAATCAACACCTGGGTACCAATCAAATACACGGCTGGCACTAAATTGTAAATAGACATACCCTCAACTCTTTCCAAGATTAACTTTATTATAGCTTGGGTTAAAAAAACAACAACCCAGTTTTTGAACAGTACATGTGAGACCTAAAAAGATACCATATCAATTATAAAAAAATATTAAGTGTAGCTCAATAAAACACTATCAGTACTAACAGCAGTTATATTAGAAGGATATCTGTAGAATTTGAGTTTTAAAAAAATTCCATGCCAAAAACTAGTTTGGGTTTTTTCCACTGTCTCATGATCATCTCCTCGGTCAGTACCTGGCCTGTTGCTTGCTGTCAGTAGGCTTGAATGGTGAGCAGTGGTCAGTCATATCTTTCCTTGCCTTCTTAAATCTGCAGAGAATTAGAAAGATAAAAACATCAACCTCACTACCTGGAACCTAATGCTTGTCTACTACTTTCATTGACGTATTCACAAAAAGTACCTTCTTGGAGGGATTATCTCACTCTTGGGTTAGCAATTAAGTACCATCAGTTCTGCCTTTGGGACGTATCGGTCACCTCACAATTTTCCATGCACTTTATAAAATATCTAGTCCATCCCACAGGTCAACTTAACACATTACACCCTAAGGGTCTGGACAGGAAATCCATTCCGAGAGATCCTAAGAAAGGAGAAGGTACCCACCTCCTGTGAATACAATCGTTTAAAAAATGCATTTTAAAACTACTAAACAAACAAAAATCCAAGTTAAAAAGAAAAATGAATGCAGTTTCAGAAAAATATAACTTAATGTATGCGCAAACTGTTCGAAATGTTTTAACTTTGGTTCAATTGGGGTGTCTGACCCGTCACTCTCTCTCTCAGCCTTGCGGTGGGGCCCGAGATCTAAATTCTAGATTTACATCTGATCAATCCGAATCGTCCCAAACTCTTGCTACAATGTTTTCATCAATATCTGATTCATCTGTTTTGTCATTTGCTTGTTCTTGCTCAAATTCATCATTATTTCCTTTTTCAAACTCAGTTGTGTTGCTTTTCATCAAGTTGAAACACCTTCAAAGTGTTGGAAACGCGATCACTTTTTGATCAGCTCTAATACTGGCCCGAAAAATTCCGTTTCAGTATCACAACGGAAGAAGAAACATTTTGCAATAACTTAGTACATCAAAATCTCGGCCCCAGAGTCTCGTCAAGGCGAGACTTCGTTTCTAAAGACGCTAGGTCGGCAAGGGCGATTCCCGGCGAGGTAGGTTGGAGAGCGTAAGGAAAGTCTCGGGCGATCCCGGGTGTAATGGGTTAATCATTCATCCTTTGACCTTGCATAACAATAGAAAGTCTTTTGTCTGTTGAAGTAAAGCAAAGCATATCGATACGTTAACGGTCAGTTAATGCCAGGAAAAAGAAAGACAGACAAACAGAAACAACTATGGGATAGAAAAGTAATAGGACCTACCAGTTGCACCTTCCAACCACCCATACAGACAAAAACTACAGAGAGAAAAAAACAAAGTTAGGACTTATCGGTGGTGCCTTTCAACCCAACTAACGGTAAAAAAAAAAGTCTGTAACTTTTCTTACATGAGATTAGCTACAAACCGTTTAAAATAAGACCTCAGCTTCATGTTGATGGTCTTGCGTTGCTGGTACTTGTGAGCGGGGCTGTTAGGTGGGAACCACACTGAGGCCGAGGAGCTCGTGAGGGCCGTCGATTTCACCAGGGAGGACACGGCGGGGTGCTGGTGCTGTTCTATATCATGCTCCTCATCGTATCCGTCTGCAATGTTCTCTTGGCTCCTTGTCATTCTCTGACAAGAAGAGAATATTTTAAAAAGCACAATTAGCAGGATTACAACGATCAATTAGATGTATACTTTTCCTCTTTTGGCTGCAACCCTGCAAAGTAAAATTATGAGGTTAATTCTTTCTTTTTTAAATCGACAGTACTCTTGGCTCTTACTGACTTGGAAGCTGGTCAAGACAATAGTGATATGGTAAAAGAAGTAGAAGGAGCAGAAAACACCACAGTGCCTAGCAATCGCTCACGCAAAAGTGAGTAACAATATTACGTAGACAAAAAGGTCAACATACATATGCTGCCATGAACTCTCATGCAAAACATAGCAAGTTTGAATCTTAAATCTCCCTCCATAAAGGCACAACCATTGCTGATATTTAACACCCTAGTACAAAAAACATAAATACAATGGCGCCTGGTTGGCGGAGAGGATTAATTGATGGGCCTTATTTCTTTACAATCCATTTGCTGTTTCTACCCATTTGTCTTCTTTTTGACCTTAATTAGAATACTTGAATACTTTGTCAACAAGCTTCTCTTCATCTTCCATATAAAGAAAACTTGAAAAATAGCCTTGAGAAAGGTGTGATTATCAGCCACTACCACTAAGACTTTAAAAAGAAAAAGAAAAAGGCTACCAACACTACCATTATTCAGACAACAAGAAAACCAACAAGTGCCGAAAGAAAAGACCACCTGCTTGACCACATGGCCAGGCTCCAGCTGGCCCCGGCTTCCCCTCAGAGAGAAACTGTACTGTCTCAAGCTCTGCCTTGCATCGCCTTGCTGCCCCGCAGCAGCCGTGCTCACACCGCTGATACTTTCCTGACTGTCGCCCGACCTCAGGCTGCTACGATATGACACACTGTCCTGCATCGACCCTGATTCATCCGAAAGTGACACGCCTGATATGTCATCGCTGCTGGCTGTAGTGTCAACTCGTTTCTTTTTCCTGTGTTGGAAGAAATGTTTCATGAGTTTGTCCAGTATATTTGGTATTAATCTTATGACCTATTAGACACAAGCAGGTCATTTTGAAGATAAGCTGTTGGATTTTGAGGGATCAATTGGTTAATACAGTAGAACATGACTATAGCAGCACCCGCTGCAGCGGGACCATCTCTACAGTGAGACCTTACCAGGATCCTCTTTTTTTTGTAAATGTAAAATCAATTAACTATGCTCAGGTTTTAACGGGGCAAGGAAAGGCTCGAACTTTGATACAGCGGAAGAGATCGGGCGAGCTCTAGCTAGGGTTGGGGGCTGTAGGTGGGTTCCAAACAGGCAGTCAGCGCTGCGGCATTGTGCTTGGCCAGTCCAGTGATAATTCACTGGTTGAGGTGGGGCAGATGGAAGAGAGAGATGGTGCCAAGAGACGCGTTACATGAGCCACTCTAAAAGCTATGCGCCTTAGACCTAGAAAAAGAAGAGGAGAGCGTGTTGTGAAATTTTTCGGAAATTCCCCTTTGCATTCATATAGCAGGAACTTGCCTACAGCAGGATTTTTCTTCTGGAACTAAAAGTCCCGCTATAGCCATGTTCAACTGTATATTGATGCAAAACAGCTGAAAAGAAGATGCGGCCATTACAGGATAAAGATACTACCCCTATGCAAGATAGGTAGAGATGTTTAAGTTGCACTCCACAAGTAGGAGAACTGTGAGAGTAGCATTCCTGTGTTAATGGGTAAACAGACTTTTTTTAATCTCATGGGGCATACAAAGTATAAAAGCAAGATTGAACAAATTTCTGAATGCTCAGTAAAGAAATAATATATATACGCCAGCCCATTAACCCTATCCGTATGCCCTGGGGTCATTTTGTACCCCCGGGGTTGTATTCTTCACATTTAAGAATACTTCTATTAAGAAGATCTCTTTGAAACTTTCAGTATTACTCAAAAAATAATTTTGACAGACTGCTATGCAAAGTGTGCGGATCGGATTAACGAGTAAATTTCCTCTTTAAAAGGGGTGGCACAGAGTTCCACACGTCATATGGATACGATAGTTAAACACGACATACGAATAGGGTTAAAACGGTAAATCTAAATTTATGTTGACAAGGCAAATTTGTACTTAGAAACAAGCAGATTTGAATAACGTAACTTAGTAAATTGAAAACAAAAAGAAAGAAAAAAAAAATTAGTTAAAAGTGAAGCTACGTCATACTACATCGAAAATAAAATACTTAATCCCCCCCCCCCCCAACCACAAATTCAATTTAAACAGAGAGAAGACACAAATCAAATAGCCTTTTGAAGTTATTCAGCAGTATAACAGCCATATTTTGCTCAGAAGCTGGTAAGGAAAACTAATACATGAAAATGAAAAAGAAGGTGAAGATCAGCTATGGGAGTCCACCAACACATATTTTACTAAATTGATTTAACAAGTCTTAAACAAAGCAGGGTATACAGGAGTCTGCTTTGACCGAGTATGGTTTCTCCAAAAACAGCAGTATAATAAAAGACAGTAGAATCCCCAATTTTTTTCTTTGCTATTTGAGCAATCTCTTTTTTCAGTTTTTAGTAAGAGTTTTACAGCACTTGCAACACAATATGGTCATAGAAGTGCCGAAGATTAGAGGTGTTACAAGAGAGTAACAAACATAAAAAAGAAGGAGAGATCAGGACGACAGATGTTAGATAGGAAAGAAGGAGCAAACCACACCAGACCACCTGCCAACCATCCACAAGCAATCTTTCTATACCTTAACTCACTTCAGACGGGTCACACAACAGTTGCGTGACCCCCGCCGTGACGCTCGCGACGGGTCTCACAAGCCCTGCGTGACCAAGTTTGGAATTTTTTTTTCGCTCTACAAATCATGCACGGATCACGAGACCCGCCTCGTACCCTTGTTTGGCCAAGCCTGAGCTACTTAGACTTCGTTTCGTATCTCTGGGGCCAGTAGTTTTTAAGTTATTGAAGGTGAAGGACAGTGACCCCAACTGGGGTTGAACAGACCGGAACTCGCGCTTTGTTTTTTTCTATTTAGCTGATAGTAATCCGACAGTCACGTCGTAGTAACGGTCGAAGAAGTCGCATGAACAAGAATCACATAATTTAGCTGTTTTCTATACTTCTGTGCGTTTTACTAGTTCTAGTGTCTCAGAATATGATGTGTCTAATAGTTAGGATCCTGGATATGTACCCGAACACGGCCTGAGTCGTAGTTCTAGGGCTAGATCTAGCACTAGTACCGGTGTTGTTTTTCGCGCAACGAAATCACAACGTCGTGCTGTACATCTGTCTCATGTAATTCAGTGTATGGGTCTGAATCAATGCACAGACCAGCTTTTATATTTTCACCAAACACTCCCACATATATACAAATCAAACCAGAACACTTTGAACTTTTATTTTTGTTGTTGCAGTGAATTTCATTCTACTTGTCACGTCTCTGGAAATTTTTCGGAAAATCAAATTCATGCCAATTTTTAAAAAATCATACAAATTAAAGTATTAGACTTAGACAACTTTAGTTTTTTGTATTAGATTAAGCTTGAATGTTACTTTACTGTGTCAAAAAATGATTACAATAGGGTAATTCTGAGAGTTGTGGTGATTTATTGAAATACCCCCAAAAACGCCAGTCTTCAACGCTTGTGACTGGTGAAAGGGCCCAGTCGCAAGTGAGTTAAACACTGCTAAACTGAAGAAAATACCAGGGTCCCATAGATTTCGGTTTAAGCCAACTCAACTGTAGTTTTGTCAGGCAGCACATAAAAAATATGGTATAGGCAATAAACAAATAAGCAAAAACAAAATCTTTATATGAAAGCAAAAAAATAAGGCCAACATACAGAGGAGAGAGAAAACAAACAGTTCAAACACAGACCTCAACACTGGTGAACCCTGAGGGGAGCCAGGGCCAGCAGAGTCGTTTTCATCCACTCCGGTAGTGTCTTGTATCTGCGACAGGTCGTTGCTGTAGGCCTGTCGAAAGTGTCGCCTCAGCGGATCCAGCCGGGCCTTGACCATCGGAGAGCTGTCAGAGTCTTCATTATCCTCGCTGAAGTTGCTCACCTGAGACAGGGGCCTCAAGGGTGTTTTCTGAGAGAAATGTTATTTTGCATAAATGCTTTAAACCACAGACATTGAGTAGTGTTTACAATAAAGCAAGAGAGGCTGAAAATGCAAATTCAAGTCTTTCTTCAAAATTTTTAAACATTGTTAAACTTCGTGTCATGTAAACATTTTTATAAGTAGAAATGAATACATAAAAGATTTTTTTTAAAGCTAAAGTGACTATATATAGTTGTGTATTCTGATTAATGCTCATGAGACTTTGCAAGACATAGCCTATATAGAGATAACAAAAATCTGAATATGATTCTTCTAATTCTATTCTAAATTTGAAGGCACTTTAACATCTTCTTGCGTTCGTGTAGGGAACTAAGCACCATTTCCATTCGTCTCATTGAGATAAAAGTTCCTAACCATCTACTAGTGTAAAAAAAATAAAGCATTGGTCCAGGATTTACCAGTACAAAGCTGTCAAACTGACCACAGGCCAAGTAGTAACATGTAAGACTGTAATTCAGAGCCACTCGTTTCTGATGTAAGAAGCCATATAATGACAAAAGGATTTTTCTACTTTTTTCCCCCCTCCATCAAATATAAGAAAATACCAGACCCCTGACCCAATCTTCGTTTTAGTCAGAGTTTTATGACACTTGAAAACATAAAAAGGTCCCATAAGTGCAAAGGTAAGAGGTGTTACTAGAGAGTAACCAAAGAAAAGGTGAAGAAGAGAAAAGACTGATGATAGATGTTTGATAGGAAAGAAAGAGCAAACCACACAAGAGCACCTGCTAAACATCCACCAAAAAAAAAAAAGAAAAAAAGTGAGACAAAGAAAGACCAAAATGAACAAAAAATCCAAACTCCATAAGTTGTGTGTGTGTGTGTGTGTGTGCATTGGGGGGGGGGGGGGGGGGGGAAGGAGAGGTAGCTTTGAAACTTGAAAGTATACAGATTGGATCTTACTAACACATTAAAAAAAGGGGTTTATCTGAGTTTTTATAATTTACATGTACTGAATATCCCTCAGGCATAAATTGAATATATCTAATTGGCCACACTGTATCAAAAGGTGAGTAAAAAAATTATTCAGTTTAGTTATTTAATAAAATATCAGTGATAAATAGCTTAAAAGAAGAGGAGAAATCTGCCTCACCCCAGGTATCTTAATATCTGTCTTCTTCTGCTTTTGCCTGTGCTTTCGTAAAGAACGCCCTCTCAGTGGAATCTTGTTGCTGCTGGGCTTGCGAAGCGTCTGTCGATCGTCACAGAGTTTTCTTGGAAAGAAAAAAGTAGAATTAAGACTCAGAATCTCTTAATACATCATATGCACTGACCTTTTTTAAATATGGTAAAAACTTGGTATGACGTACTCCCTTCAGAACCAAGATTTATTCACAGCTTAGCCAGGGTTACGTATTAACCAAAAAGGGTAAAAATACAAAATGGAATTTAGAATTTCAGAATGTAATAAGTTACCGCTCATAATATGTTTTACGCCACAATTGCTATGTCATACACAGTAAAATCTCTCTATAATTTTATACTGAGGTTTTGTTGTATATAACATAGAGCAATTATTAGCAAAAGTTAAGTAAAACAGGAAATCCATTTGATTATATAATTCTTTTTAGCTAAGCGTTTGATTCAGGAAAAAGACATGTACACAGTTCTTAAAAGATCAATAAAAAATGCCATACTATTATCCATCCATATAAAGAGACAGTGCTCTCTTTTCTGTGACTATGTCATACAAACAAAATGCATATAACCTCAGAAAAACGGATTGCTGGACTTATCCGGAAAATCTGCTCCTCTGATGAAGTCATGGCAAAAGTATAATTTCTACACACCTGATGGCCTTCTCCACTTGAGCACTCCACTCTTTGGCGTTGCCCTGGTCCTCTGAGTAGAGCACCAGACTCTCCTCTTTGCAGGTGATCTGAGGGGAATCAAAAGATGGATAATGGTAATAAAATTTTAATAAAATTGTATTGTAGTATTCTACGAGTTCGCCCAATAAAGACACAGTCTACTGGTACTGTGCTTCAAGAAAGAGGGCGTTCTTTTCAAAAAAATTATGTAGAAACGCTACGTATAAAATGCTTGGTCCACAGACCCTAGTGCAGAAAACTAAAGGTAATAATTCCTCCTTACACTGGAGCTGACATTTCAAATTGAGACCATCCCATACTCCATAATATCATTATGACTAAACAAGCTGGGCCCCCTTTCCATGAAAGAAATGATCGGTGCTTTAATATCAACTAAAAGTCATTGGCCTACTATATTTACACTCTACTGGAATGGGGAAATAAATCTTGAGAGAGGCAAAAAGTGAGAAGGTCTAGATTTAATCTCTCAAAACAAAATGCGCCTCGCGAAATATCACTTTTCTAAAATTACTGAGATAGAAGCGTCGGCCTACAAAAAGCGATCGGCGAAATAAAGAAAGTTAGCTTTTTGCAGCAAAACTGTCTCCAAACTGAAAAAAACAAGGACGTCATGATCTGGACAATATTTTAGATAATTTTTTCGCGAAAACCGCATGTCGATATCGATGGAGCCATTAAAAAGCCTTTTGAATAGCAAAATTCGGCCACCACAAATAGATAATTAATAGATTATGCTACAACTGGGTAGTCCCCCCCAAAAAAAAAAAAAAAAAAGCAAAGCAAAGCTCTTCCATGATTCTTTCTATGATAACAACAATAAATAACAACCCTGGAACCACCGAAATTTGAAAAAGAAAAATAATTTGCTCATTGACACATTGAAGTGATTGTCCATTAATTTTTCACATTTCCTGTACAAAACGTAACTCAAAATTGGAAAACAATTTTTCAGTAAAAATTGCATGCAGTAGAACTCCAAAGACTTCAGATTCACACATCCAAGTAGGTCTTTTTACACAAGCCTAAGCCAAAGTGTAGATTAAAAAATCAACAGTGTTGTAGTGTTACCTACTCCTATTATAAAGTAGCAACTCTTTGCTAAACAAAAGATACAAAACATATATCTGTACTTCACTGGTACTTAAAAAAGCGCATCTCTACTATGCACTAAGCCTGTGATTTTCACAACAAAGAGTAAACAGCTTTTTCAAATGATTGTTAAGAAAGTAAAACTAGTCAAAGTAGGGTAGGAAAAGTGACTCACCTTGAAAACGCCACCTGCGTCAGATTTGCTGAAGTTGGTGATGAAAACTGGCTCTACTTTGCAATGCCTGAGAGGCAACACACATGAACAAGTGTAGGATCTACCACCGCCATCTAGGAACTTTGGTTTGCCGTACAGAAGTATATCCGAGAATAGGAAGAACATCCGTTCAAAGGACTTGCCACCTTTTCGTGACATCTGAAAAATGTCATTACTGAGTTGTACTATCAAAGAGTCAATATGATAAAAGGGTCAAGGTCCCAGGAATAGAATAGGACAATAATTAAAATGAAAAAGAAGTAAAAGTAGCACCCACAAGCCATTCAATAAGAGGGCTCTGCGGCAAGCTGTAGAAGAGGAAGACCCCCTAAAATAGAGCAGAAACAGGATTTAAAACAATAAAAACCAAGAACAACCCAATATTTAACAATAAATACCCCCCCCCCCAAAAAAAAAAAATTTTTTTTTTAATCTCACAATCAAATCTGTCATCACACAAAGTGCATTTACAGCTTTTAACCTTTTTCAGTGGACCTTCCTTTATGAATTGCCTTCCAGGAGCCAGCAGTTTAGGTGCAGAACTGTCGAAGCTCCTCTGTATAGCCAGCATCTTCATGAAGTTTTCGTTTTGCCTGATATGTTCGTTGATGTGAGAGGCAATTTCAGCAAGCTTGTCTGCAGCCTCTGAGGAGGAGAGGATGAATACGATGCCCAATTCTTACCTTTCTTTATACACAGTAGGCTATTGAGAGGTATGTTGTTACCTCTGAATTAAAATACATTTTTGTGAGAAAAAAACTGGAAATCTTAACATATTAAAGTTAGTACGTTTTTACATGTTCAATGAATAATACTACGTAAGTACTGAAACCATACAGCAAGCACTGCCAGCATGGACACAGAGGGATAAGATCTGTAGCAAGATGGAGAGCTACAGTTCACGGTAACATAAATTACTTATGAGCTAAAAAGAGAAGTGAAAGGACACTGGCAATCCAACTTACCCCTTAGTTTTTCATAATCATGATGTTCTACTGGGGTGCTGTTCAAAAGCTCTTCAAGCAACAACTTGTACCTTAAAAAATCAAAACATACGCACAAGAAAAGCTATTAGATAACACTTTGTGATATGATCATTTTTTAACACAATACTTCAACTACACACAGACTCAGTCAAAATGTAAAAAATAAAGGCGGGGACCATTATATTTGCTACTTAATATGTTCCTCTTATTCTGTAGGGGACTGAACTGAGTTTCTCAGGCACACATAGTTCTAGGAGCCTGAAGCCACTGAGTGAGTAGCCAACTGTTGAAATGGTCATAGATCACTATGTCATACAGAGATCAGCTGTTTTGATCAGAATCAACAAATTCAATTAAATATGAGGCCATAAGAGCTAAACACCATGAATTTAAACAAAAACATTTAAAAAAGAATAAAATCCCATAAGTAAAACTTTTTCAACTCTGGAAACCTAGAGAACGGGGCTCAGCATAATAAAGAGACAGCATTCCAAAAAAACCCCCCCAACAAATTTATTAAAATCTTAATAAGTTAACAGCCGAAATGTCGAACACGTTTTATTAAGACCTCCTGGCAATTTTAAACACAGTGCAGCTATGGAAAATGTTAATGACAGTCCTTTCAGCACACAAAAGGAGACTCAAAACAGAAATATAAAAAAACAAATCCGATGGCAACTGTGCTAAAGGGCAAAATAGAGGCAAAGAAAAATAAGGGAAGACCTCCTACATCATATAATGAAAACGTAAAATCCAACAATGGTCTATAACTTCATGAAATAACACATCAAAGCAGAAACCAGGGAAGAAGGAGGCCTGTTGTGGCAAGGGTTGGTGCACCAAGAGACCGACAAGGTAACGGTGACATATGATGACAGGTGACAGGTAGGTGTTCACCACAACACATGGAGACTTGTATTGGCAAAAAAAACTCTCAAAACACACCTGGGTATTCTCTGCACTGGAGTAATGAGCAGAGCTGGCAGCTTGAGACCCATCACTTCTGGTCTGCTCTCTTGTCTGCTGACAAACTCTGCAAACTCTGTGCTCTTCTGCTGCCACTCCTGTAAAAACAAAGAGGTAAAACAATTTGCCACATATTAAAACATATTGTGGAGTTGGTGGCCTAGTGGTTAGGCTACCGGACTCGTAACCGTGAGGTTGCAGGTTCGGGGGTTCAAGCCGCGGGCTCGACGTTGTGTCCATGGGAAAGGCACTTTACCCGAATTTTCCTCACTTCACCCTGGCGGGAATGGGTACCCAGTTTTATTGACAGTGAAAGATCTTGTCAGTACAGTATGTTTGTGTTTTAGCGCCTATATGGCAGCTTGCATTGTATGCTTCCCAGGAAGTTCAGGTTGTTTCACATGCTCTCAGGTCTGCTGGGGTAATAGTATAGATTGTGAAGTGCAGAGAGCTTGCCGTTGAGCGGGGATTTGCGCTATACAAATGCTATTTATTACCTGTATTAACTGTCCTGGGCAACAACGTCATTGCACACCACCGTACAGGTCCATAAGTGCTCAGTTCCCCCCAGCACCAATGCCCGCAAGGTATCCATACCGATAGTTCAGGTGGCTGTCACTGTCTGATTATGGCGATGTCTTTCCTTTCTTCCTTCTCCCCTCTCTATCTATCTATTATTATTATTAAAACAAATGTTCTCTATGTGTTCTAAAATGATATCTTGTGATGTCTATATTATATGTCAGTCTGCCATGTGTCATATCGGAGACATTCAAAACTCTGAGCATTTTAGTAAATTGATATCATCCCACAAAGTTATAGTTTAAGTTTAGGCCTAATCCCCCAAACATGTGACATAACTGAGGGGACAGACTTACAACTTGTATGAAGCTTACCCCTCTTAACAAACACTGCTTGGGAGGATGTGAAAGGCAAAAACTAGGAAAACCATTTTCAAACTCTCAAATTTCATATCCAAAACGTATTCTTAAGCATTTGATCCAAATTTTTATTTAATTTCTTTCTAATCTATATAAAAAAGGTGGAAAGTTAAAGTGGAGAGGGTTGGGTTTAAAAATTGTCTTTACATGATAAAGCCCCAGTATAAAACAGTTATCGTTCAATAAACTTTGATTAATAGCATTAATTTTTTTCTTTATGACGGGAGATATTGTGATATTGGTAGAGGATAGAATCACTGCTCCGCTATGAGCAGTTTTAATATGAAAAGTTTATTAAAAAAATGTAAGTGTCATAGGACATGAAATGAATGATGAATGCATCGTCGACATTATACAAGCAAAAGAAAGTATTACTTGTAAGGTGTTCAAAGCACTCTGATGGTTGTTGGCATAGAGGGAGTACAGTTTGAGAAAGGGCCCCAGCTGGGAGAAGGCTTGCCCTACAGTCGATTGCTCCATCTGCTCCTGCAAGGTGGCATTGACTTCACGAATCTGCTCCAAATTGCTGAAGAGTCTAGCGTGAACATCATCCGGAACTAGACATGCAAACCTCAAGGGGAAGTCAAAGAACTGAAAAGAGAAGTGTAATAATGATAACAAGACCTCTGAGGAAGTACTGCTGTCTTATACTTTTATTAAATTAATAAAACATAAAATATCATTTACTATGCGAGGCTACCAAAATTGAAAATCTCTTCAGAAGTGTCTCTTGTATAATAAGAGAAGGAAACGGCATACAAATTCGTAGAGAACGAAGAAGTGAAACATTTTTCAGCCTCTCAATTCCTTTTAAAACGTACACACATGGCATCTATGCAACATCAAGCAATATAAAATAAAATTTTACAATATATGTACAAGAAACTATATATATACTTCAAACCTGTAGTCAGAAAGCTCTTCCAGCTGAGAAAACTAACATATGAAGTCAATATATTATCATAGCTTTAATCCCCATTTTACGGACCAACTTGAATTATAATAAGATATTTTAAGGGGCATGGCATGTTTTAAATCTTACTTTGTGCACCAGCTCCAAATGGTGCAGATATGTTTTTTCAGTCTCAAAAAGTTCCTTGACCACCTTCCTACGTTTCCGCTCTCTGCGAGCTGCTTCTTGTGCCTTTTTGTCACTGGGACTGGACGCAAAGAGCACGGCCTCCCCAGACAGTGACATTATTTATATGCTCTTTGCCTCTAGGTGCTGAAAAAGAAAAAGATAATTTATGCTAAAAAATTTAAAGTAATAGCTGTCCTGCTTAGGAAAAACACAAAAGTGAGGCATCGCGATGAAACAAGACAAGAAGGTGCTTGTCAAATCAATGAAATCGAAAAACAGAAATTTTTCTGCTGTTTGGTAATACAGTCGAACCTACCCTGACGGCCACCTCTATAAGACGGTCACTTCTGTAAACGGCCAGTTTTCATTCCCCCCCTTGCGTTTTTTCTATATAATTTAACAGTGTAAAACCGGCACCTGTCCAATGCGGCCGCGGCCACCTTATATAACACACAACCCCTATCACACCAAGCAATAACACCTGTCTTAGACGGCCATCTTAGTGACTCCATTACGTTTTGTCATAAATTTTGCATTGGCCCCTGGCATTGTTGTGGGCGAGCCGTCAGAATCCAATCACCTGTCGTTGTTGTTAGATAATCCCTCCAACCGACCATGTTGCGTAGGCCCCTCCTACTGTTGACCAAAGGTAACACATTTTCAGCTGCTGGTGAGGTAAGCGTGTGATCCCTAACCCAAGCCCCGCCCAGAACTCATACACAAATCGTAAGTAAGATGAATGGTCACTGTTCATCCAGTCTGTAACAAATTAACAATGGACGTCAACATGAACTTGTGACAGAAGCGTTGCTCGTTCTCCAAGTGGTGGCGACCCATGTGTTTGTTTTACCATAGCACTCAGTCTCCTTGTCAGACACATTTCGCTTTATTGTCACCCTTCCACAAAAGCAGCAACAAAAGAGAAAAAAACCCAGCGAAAACAACAACAATAACAAAGCGGCTACCTTCGGTTGGTACCTTAGAAAAGAATGGTTTGTTTTCTTCATCTTGATCAGTCCTGTTTAAGACGGCCACTTTTCTCCTTGACAATGGGAGGCCGTCTTACACAGGTTCGACTGTATATTGAATATTTTTGTCTCAAAACCTTTTATAGTATACACGGATGATAGGTTGAACATAGTGACCCAAAATCACACATCTGTTGAACTGTGCCTGCAGTCCATTTTTTTTCTTTATATCTTTGTCAGATATCCCTCGAACTACGGATCCCTCAAACTACCAAGGCTGGTCCCAACAAATTCGAGCTATCCGTGTACTGTGTGTAAAGTAGAAACACATTTCTGTGTGGGCTTTACTGAATCAAAAAGAGTCGAATTAGGGCACAAAAAATTAAAATTTGCAGTTTCCAACGAGCCTCAAGCTTTGAAAGTCACCAAACTTTGGTGTCTGATTGCATTAATTTTTCCTCTGAAACCAAGTGACAACCACCTCCTTCAATCGCAAATATCTCTACTTCTATTCAAGATAAATGAGTATTTCTTTCATCGAAGGCAAGGCAAATTTAACAAGCTTTAAGACGAAATCAAACTTCTTTTAAAAAAAAATAAAGTGTTCAACTGGTCTTGCAACTGCATAAAGGTCATGAGCGAGCGGGACACATTAAACATTTTTAGTTGGTAAGAAATTTTGAATTTTGCCCTCGTCGCTGCCAAAGCCTAGTACTCTCATCGATTTTTAGACCATCAAGAGATTTCTAACAAGAAGTGCAACTTTTCACACGGACACACGGGACCTCCGAGATTTTTCGCCTTTGTTCGAGAAGCCTAGTGTAGATCTTTCCTACCAGAAGATCAGGGGTGTGGCTGAAAGACAGCAGTAAGATTAGTAAAAAGGAACCAAGGAGTAGCAGAAGAAAGGCTCCGTGCAGAAAGAGTCAGGAGCCCTGAGGAAGGGGCAAAGGGGGTGAGGGGGTGGGGGCAGAAAGTGGAGATGAAAGCAGACAACAGAACATTGCTAGAGCAGTCAGTAAAGCAGTTGAAAGAAGACAAATTCAGAGACGAAAACTTTTAGGCCACTACCCGGATTCGAACCCGGGACCTTTGAATGAGAGGCAAACACCATAACCCGTAGGCTACGAGAGCCCCACCAACGTCCGATTCCACCATGTCATTGCAATGCATGATATCAGCTGATGGGAGGACATCGGATGGATATGGCTGACAAAATAAGGACCACTGAAAACCATTTCATTTTGAGAAAGAACAATCACATTTGATAAAAGATACCAAGGCAATGACAAAGGAAAGTATAGTATTATTTAGTGTATTCCAGGGACACATTTATTTTTATGTAAAAGTAGTTCTTTAACGAATGCCAGCGCTCTCTTAAAATTATATATCCACCAAAATGCCCCCCCCCCAAAAAAAAACAACAACAATCCCCTAACAAAACAACAAACCATCACAATCATACCACCAGAGCTTGTTACAGTTACAGCTTACAGAAGTGAGGTTAGTTTTATTCCCAACTCATAAAATTAGCCTGCTGTACACACTATTCGTTTTTCTTGCACCCATCACATGCCACAGCATCAGTCAGGGAAACCAAAGCCTAAGTCGTTAACTTCCGCTGTAACTGTAAGCTCAGTCAGTACACTGCACAACTTCACTTCCATGTCAGTAGCATTTGTAATCATGTGCAATGCAGTGTACTATACTATAGTGCTCAGGCTAGTCTGTCAAACTTTCATCAAAATGCACCTCGAAAGAAGAGAATCTTCCATGGCATGGCTTTCTTTTGTGCAAAGAATGAAACATGTAATAATCGTTCTTGGTTGACAATTTGCCGTGACAAGGCACAAGGGGTAACAGGGAGGCACAGTGACAACAACAGTAACAGTAGCCCTCTTCTTGCCTAGTCTAGACGTCAAGATCCAGCAGGGCAGGTCATTTCAATTTGGCCTTTCAATTTAGGCCTACTAAATTACTACCACAAACGCTTACCACTTTATATGTTTTGCATTTCAAGGCAAAATGATACTACCCTCCATACTACAAGCCCTTCCATCGATAAACTTACAACACAGTAAGCAATTATATTAGTATTTAAATAAAATAGCAAGGACTAGATAGGAGCATACCACTGTGTACGGAAGTTTGTTTGAATTCCGTAGACACAAAAAGGTCAGAGGTTATGATTATATAAACCTGGATAAGACTATTGGGATCAATATTGAATAGATTGTATCTTCAAATCACATTTATAAATCTTACAAATTTATTATTAGCTATCATATTCATTCATGTTTATATTTTAAAAATTAGATTTAAAAAATTGTATCTCTGTATTTTTAACCATAGACGTAAGATTTTTACACAGAATGGAAACATGACAGATTTGTCTCTGCTTCAGTTTCGAATCTATTGTTTTTGTTAGTTTAACAAAATTCTTTACCTTTCAAAATTTTACTATCATAATTGCCATTAACTACTGATACATATTATATTGTTAGGATAAATACATAATTTTTGTACGACTTTCATAAACTGCGAAACTGAGGAAACTGTATTATCTCGGTTGAGTAAAATCCACTTCCGGTTGAGATTGAGAAGAATGTTTGTACTTGTTTACTCTATAAAAGTTGCTATTTATCTCACGAGTAGACTCACTACTGATTGAAATAGCTTGTAGATGTTTTCAGTGAGTAAAAGATAGCGTGTTTTAAATTTCTGTAAACTTTAAGTGTTACGTACATGTCTACGGTTTGAAAAAAACAGCTTTTCAGGCATCGTTGTTATAGACGCTAATCTCTGACTCTGACTATCTTCTGTCTCTTCACTTCACTTCTCCCACTCCTTCATTTAGATCTTTGCATTTGATCTAATCGTTGGTAAAATATTATGTCCAATTCGAGTGTCGGAGATACTCTCTGGGACTCTACCATTGACCCTCATTCGTATGCTTATAACTAATGCACTACCAGCTAGTAACAGAATTTAACTGACTGGATACACTTTCACTTGGCAAGATGTGAAGATGCTGGCGAAATCAGTGGAACTGCTTGGGCCTCAATATTTCGCTATTTAGCAGATTTCTGCTACCGCCATTTCCTCCGCTAAACTCTGCTACTGTGACAGCGGGCCAATCAGAAAGAGAGTTGCTTGGAGCAGAGTGACTGCCAGACCCGGGGAATTACCAGGCAATTTGAAAAAAAAATCGCTGAGACCTGGGAAAATAAAAGATCTCGAATATTTGAACATCAAATCCAATAATGTCTTTAAGTTCATTTTTTCCAGTCGCGATTGTGATATTAATTAGGCTATTCTTGGCCTGAGAGTACGTTTCACGCGAACAGACGGCTATGGCGGCAAGCGGAAGTGTATGTGACACCGAAGCTCGACCAGAAAATTAAGGTCTACCTTCTCTTTCATTACCACCCTGAAATTTGTCAGTAATAGTCCGATGACGCACCATTTGTAACATGCAAGTTCGGCATTACAATCGTGGTGTTGCCATTAAAATAAATCAATATTCCTCACTGTACTGCCACTTGTGGGGGCTAAAAAAAAAGAAAAGAAAATTTTATACAATCTAAGCGTCTTGTCGGGTTCGAGGAGCGAGCGATGTGAAGTACAGGACTCCGGAAATGGGTGGGGGGGGGGGGGGGGGGGGGGCGGCGTGAAATTGATTTTTTAAAAAGAATACTCTTGGGGATGGGGGAGGGCTGTATTCAACACCAGACTGAGGGAACTGGAAGCAAATTTTTTTAGAATTTTGACTAACAGCTTTCTTCAAAGTAAGGTGCGTGTTGGTGCAGGTCTTGTGTGAAATCGGGAACCATCATAAATTGTAAGAGTGTTATTGAACTTTCGGGCCTAGACGTTTCATTGAATGGGTGACCGTAAATTATCTCTATATTTTAGCTTTCTGTTCGAAATTGGCAGGGGGTTCTCATGGCCTAGGGGTTAAGGTGTTGGCCTCTCATTCAAAAGGTCCCGGGTTCGAATCTGGGTAGTAACCGAATAATTTTCTTCTCTAAAATTGTCTCCTTTCACCTCCTTTCCTGCTCTCTAGTAATATTCTGTCGTCTGCTTTCATCTCCTCTTTCTGCCCCCACCCCCTCACCTCCTTTGCCCCCTCCTCTGGGCTCCTGACTCTTTCTGCAGCCTTTCTACTGCTACTCCTTGACTCCTTCTTACAGCTGTCTTTCTGCCACACCCCTGATCTTCTGGTAGGAAAGATCTACACCTTGCCTTCTCGGACAAGGACGAAAAATCTCGGAGGGCCCGTGTGCAAGTTGCGCACGTTAAAGATCCCTTGGTGGTCTAACATCGATAAGAGTAGGCTTCGGCCGCCACCCAGGCAAAATTCAAAATTTCCTACCATCTAAAAATATTAGGTGTGTCCCGCGCGCTCATATGACCTTATGCAGTTGCGAGCGCCGTAAAAACACTTTTTTTAAAAAATAAATAAATTCGCAGATTTTAAGTGTCACTGCATCTTGCCCTTCCTAAGTTCTTACACCTCTCACACCAAATAGGTCTACTTGGGCTGTTCAAGTTATTACTCTACTTTCAGTTTGAGTTTTAATTTTTGTTTTTAACTGTTATTATATATGAATCATGACGCCCAGACTGGTTCACGACGGTCGTATATTCTGGTTCTAGGCCTTTTCTCAGACTGAAAACAAGATTCATTTTCATAAAGTTTATATGCAGGCTGATGATGAAAGGTAAATATAAATTTAAGTCGCACGAAACCCCAGTGCGCAACCTCTTTCTGTACATAATCAAGATTGCAAATATTTTTTAAGTGACTCTTACTTGGAATTATCTTCCAAACCCTCAAATTGATGTGAGATATATAACCTTGCTATAAATTCATGGTTTTTATTTCAGCTTTTTGGGGTTCAACAGTACGTGAATAATGGGTGTTTCACGAAAATGGGCTTCTGTCGCGATCACCCGGAAAGTTCCTCCTTTTTTAAAAGTCTGAGTTGAGACCCATGAACTGTCACTTTCGCTTGTAAAAATGACACTGACTTTAGTTAGTTTGCCTCCCATCTACTTTGACTTTTATAATTTTAACTTGGTCTTCATTATAGATCTAGAGATTAAAAGGTTATTCTATTTTCTGGAGGCTGTTTGCAAGCTTAACCCTGTTGATGCTATGACAATGGATATGATCTCTATGCGAATGAGTCAGAGCTACTCTGTAGATGTTCGTCTACTGAAGCCAGTTTAATTGTCAGACAGGAAGCCTGTCGCCAGTGGTTTCTCTGCGCTTTCTCACTCTTCAACCTTTTTTTTTTTTACCAAAGACAGTGTAAACTAAGGAATTTTTTAAAAGACATTGTTTACAGAAATTTTTCTTAACTTTTCATGGTCACATAATTCTGAAAAAGCTTTCAACACTCGGCCATTTGCCTAATGTTCTGTGATCAGTCCTTTTTATGACTCCAGTCAGTCTACGCTGTTCAAACTCAGTAATATAGGCACATGTACCAGCATTGTTAACCCCCGTCCACCGGTTGCCAGGTTTATGTTCCCTGTAAGTGTATTTTGGCACTTCGTTTTTCCCTCCGATCCCGCATCAGTCCGGTCCCTGGCTCTAGCACGCTGAGCATCATCCATGTTGTGATGACTTGGTCCCGTATTCATGCAGCTCAAGTGTGTGTGTCGGTCTGCTTGAGTTTACTGTGTGCATTTGTGGCCAACTTCTAGAACTGCCTGCGTTGGTTCGAAACGAAGCGTGCATGATATCTTATTCAAAATACGCCAAGTTGGTAGCTCTAGATGTTCGTCCAATGAAATTAGAACGAGTAGGCCCACTTACACGGGAGGAGCTTGAAAGGATAGCGAGGAAACAAGACTTCCATTTTTCTATAAAATCTTTCAAATGAGATTGATTTTATATAAAAAATGATACCTGAAAAAAATAAGCTTATTTTGATTGTTTTGAATACCATTGTGGAGGTAAAAAAAAAATTTGAGAGCAAAACATTCTGAAATGGACCTATTTCCTTTCGAACCTTAGATCATTTGTAGCAACAAGAGTGCCTGAAAGATTATTCGAATGGGCGTAACTACCCGTAAAGACTTATCAACTTATGAGAGGGGGTTGTTCATGTGTTCGTAACACTTAATAGAGAAAACTAAATAATATAGAGCGTTATTTTCATCATCGATTAACACCCCCACCCCCACTGTATTCACGGCGAAAACTCACGTTTTCAGGGCAGCTCGCTGTACACTAACAGTACATGCTGAGTGACGTCAACACATCAGTGGCCCGCCGGGAACGTCTGTGGTATAAAGTTACTTATAAAATTCGCATCTTGGCACAGACGCAGAACAGGAGTTAAACATTACACTTATTAGTGGTTTATTAGAATGAGATGAGTTTTACACTGACATACTTTTTCTTCTACAAAAAGCTTTCACTTTTAGATGCCTTTTGAGCCCTTTTGTGTCTCAAGGCTCATCTCTTTTTTTTTTTGTATTCATGTCACATCATCTTTACATCAATGTTTGAGCTGTTTTCTGTCCTGTTATGTCAGTCCTTCATTTCTTGATTTTTGTGTAAGTTTAACAAGCATTGTAACTTTTGATATGGGCAGATGGCAGATAATCTGGGGCATTAGAGTGAAACATTCCCTTTACCTCTAAATGAATTCTCAGTTGTTTTTTTCATGAAAAGGGGTGACAATCTATTAGCAAGTACCACCAATGAAGAGGCTGTGTGTATCCTCTATTCCTCTTTTCCCTCACCCCAGCCGGACAAGAGTTCTATAATTAGCATTTGATTAAGTTCCCCACTTACCCTAATCTAATGTAGTCTTCTGAGAAGTGCGAGAAGTATGATTATGACCTGGAATTGTGTGCTTTGTTCAGGGCATGTGTGTATTTAAGTACACTATTGTATCTGATTCGAGACTTGATTTGCCTGGGACAACGTCATATCATTGGTACAGTATCAATTATTTCTTCAGACTATCATAATTGTATTTAAATTTTTAAACTCTTTAATATTATGTAGAGATACGTTGATGTTTTATTATTATTATAATTTTATCAGTTGCTATGAGTTTCTTATTTTTTGTTTCTAAATAAAAATTATATCTTTCTGTTTTCAAGGAAGTCCTAGTATTTTGAATTCTGACACCATGCAAGAAGTGAATGTAAAGGTTGCTGTACGGGTAAGTGTCAGTTGAAAATGATGGTGAACTATTTACTGATCTAAACTGCGTGTTGAATAAAAATATGTGTATCTTTTACTGAGGCCAATTTTGAGACTTCTGGTGGCAATATTTGTTAAGAAGTGAACTTTTGACACAATATTATTTATTAAATTATATTATGACCTGGATGTGCTTGTGCTTGAAAGTTTTTGATTTCCTTTGTTAAAAATGTGAGAAATTTAAAAAAAATTGATAGCTGTTTCCACTTATTATTGCAGAGATATGGTTTAGAATTGTGTAGCATATCATTGTCATACAGTAGACGTATAACAGCTATGGTTGTAAGGTGTGAGTTAACTTTCGATTGTATCATTGCTGCTTGCTGTTTTTAAATCTTAGTCTCTTACAGATGGTTTTTTTATTTTTAAAAGCTAACTTTGTTTGTCAAATTAATTGAAATAAAGAATTCAGCTCTTGATTGTTTAGAAGTTAGAAATTCATTCAAGAATTTTTCTGAACAGGTTCGCCCACTGCTACCAAAAGAGAAACTAGGTGGGGAGCAGATGTGTGTGAGGAGTGGCTCTAGTCCAAATCAGCTGATATTAGGATCAGACAGATCATTTACTTTTGACCATGTGTTCCATAATAAATCGCAGCAGGTGAGTTGCTTTCTATTTTTTATTTTTTTTTGCAACTTGTTTTTTCTTTATGTAGTGTGTTATCAAACGGAGAATTACAATTAAGGTTAGTTTCAATAAAATGAGCCTAATCCTGAAAAATAGAAACATCTCAATGACTACCAAAATGAAAGTTCTGAAATGCTATGTATGGTCAACCCTTCTATATGGCTGTGAATGCTGGACAATCACTAAAGACAGTGAAAATAAAATAAAAGCATCAGAAATGTGGTTTCTTTGGAGACTTTTAAGAATATTGGGGAAGGAAAAGAAATCAAATGAGGTAGTGTTTGATGAAACCCACATGGAACACTCACTGTTAAAAACGATCATGAAACGGCAAATGCAGTTTTTGGGACGCTTGAATAGACATAAGGGTCTTGAACATCTTGCTCTCACTGGCAAAATTGAAGACAAATGAGGCAGGGGTAGGCCCTGAACAAATGGATAACAGGGAAAGATCAGGGAAAGATAGCTTTTTTAAGAGCATCCGAGCAAAGGAATGAATTGAGAACCATGATCGCCGATGTCTGTCACAGATCTGGCACTTGATGATGATGAGTATGTTGACCGCTGCTATCCAGTGAACTCTGAATCTCTATGGATTACCTGCTAGGGGCTAACTTATCTCTTTGCAGTCAATTGACGCAATAATGCGCTGGTGAAATTTATCCGTTCCGGTCTGTGCCAGGCCCGAGAAGTCCGTTGTAGTCACTCTCCTGGGTGGGTGACCAGATGGGGTATTTTATACTGCAGGCTGTGTGACTGGAAAGTGTTAATTAAGATCTACCACAGTCATCTTTACTTTTGTAATTGTCAGGTGCATAATATACTGAGTGAAGCAAAATGTTTATACAGAAGTTAGGGAAGAATGTCTGTTGGCATCTAAAGCATTCCCCAATTATATTATATGTGGCACGATGTGGTAGAATCTGGCGCTCGTCAATTTTTGGGCATATGGAGTTACTGGTATCATCTTAAAGGGTGTTCATTTGCCTTGCTTTCAATTAAAAGAATATCCATCTATCTTGAATAGAAGTCGGGATATTTGCGATTGAAGGAGGTCGGGGTTGCCTGCTTTCAGAGGTAAAATTGGCGAGAAAATGGCCGGCATTGGTGAATTCCATAGCTCAAGAGTCTTTGGAAACTGAAAAATAAAATTTTTCGTGCTTTAATCAATGTTTTCCCATAAAATCCACACATAAAAGTATTTTTGAATGGACAATCAAGGTGTTGAGTCGAAAAGAAAAATAAATTTCAAACTGGCCGAAAAATGCTGATTTCTTGGATTTCTTTATGTTGATGAGCACCTGATTTCACCACATGCCTCACATATATAAAATGGAGCCATCCGCTACTTTTTTGTTTGAATCTAAGGGCACTGTTCCTTTACCTATCATTTGAAAGTACTTAGTGTTTATGATTTGAAAGGATTTGTGTTTTCAATTGAATGTTTTCCTCTTGTGCTCGTACAAGCTGAGGCAAATAATTTCAGCCTTTCTGACCTGTAACCAGTGGTGTGTTTTTCTTTCTCTCTCAGGATGAAATCTTCGGTTTGTGCGTCAAACCCTTGGTTCACAGCCTGTTTGACGGATACAATGCCACAGTCTTCGCTTATGGCCAGACGGTAAGGACAGGAAGATGGAGATTTTCAAGGCTTGGGTTATCATATTGTTTTATACTGCATTTTGTAAAATAATAGGGTTTTGATCTACAGTGTCAGCCTTATAGAAGAGAATAACTTTTTCAGTCGATCAAATAATGTAAACTTGACTTTAACTATTGGTCACCATGGTTGATAAAAATTGCAATGCGTTGAATATGGAGTATATTCAGTTTGGTATATATGGGAATTTTAAAGGACTGTGGAGACATGGGATATTGTTTTAGTAGTAAATAATGGTTATGTATAATGTACCTGCTTATCCTTGCTTTCCACTAGGGCTCCGGCAAGACATACACCATTGGAGGTGGAGATATCACGACTCTGACTGAAGAAGAGTATGGCATCATTCCACGTGCCCTGGTTCACATGTTTCAAAAGATGGAGGTAACTTATTCTTTCATGGCAAGGGTAGTAGGGTGTAATGATCAAGTAAAATATGCTTCTTCGAAATCTTTTCTGTTTTACGTCTACCCTTTTAAAACCCAGCAAATCATAGCCGATATCCAGTTTACTTGATGACTTCAACAACCATATGCGTGTATCTTTTATATGTTGTCTTCTACTGTCAAGTTTGATTATTTGGTATGAAAAGTTACAAGTTGATACTGAATAGACTTCATTTTTAGCACTTTTTTGTCGTTGCTTATTAGCAGGCTTTCCAACTGTCTCAATTTTCTTGGGATGAAAACTGTGGAATTTGAGAGCTTTATCACCATACACTATGCCAAAACCAATCTCTCTTGATGAAATTTTGTTTGGTGTTACAGTATCTGATGTTACAATGTTGGGTGAAGAAGTTGGCGGGCTTGCATTTGTGTTTTCTCTCTAGGTATTTTCTTTTTTTTTTCACCTTCTTTAAATGACTATTTTTGTTGTTGATGTATATCTGAATTTTCTGATCAAACTTGCTGTTGTGCTTGTAGGAGGACAAGAAAAAGTCTTACACGGTTGCTGTGTCGTATATTGAAATCTACATGGAGGAACTACGGGACCTGCTGGACCTTGAGACATCCTCCAAGGACCTACACGTGCGGGAAGACAGTAAAGGCAACACAGGTAAGATCAACGCCGTTGATAGTCTAGTGGTTTGGCTAACGGACTCCTAATCATGAGGTTGCGGGTTCGGGTGGGGGGGGGGGGGGGGTGAGCCACAAGCTCATTATTATGTTCTTTGAGAAAAACTCTTTACACAAATTTTCCTCACTTCACCCAGGTGGGAATGGGTTCCGAGTAGCCATAGACAGTGAAAGATTTTGTCAGTGAGTGTTTTGGCGCCTATAAATAGCAACTTACACCGAATGCTTCCCAGGAAGTTGAGATTGTTTCACATGTTATCAGGTCTGCTGGGTTAATAATATAGATATGTATATATATATATTATATATATATATATATATATATATATATAATAGCACTTGCTGTTGAGCGGGAATTTGCGCTATACAAATGATATCTATCATTGTGTGCTGGAACCATCTGCACTCATACTCCAAAAATGTCGTCACTGGTCTTTATGAAGGTGTCTTATGGCTTTCAAATTAAAGTTCTTTCAGAGGATGGGTGGCGGGTGTTCTGGTGTGGTTGGCTCTTTCTGCTCTATCGTCCTCATCTCTCTTCCTTTTATTGTACGTTACTGTCTAGTAACACATCTAATCTTCGGAACTTATATGATATTTTTGTGTTGCTAGTGCTGTTAAACTCTTTATGAAAATTTAACCCCCCACCCCCACCCCAAAAATAAGAAACAAGAACAACTACAAAAACTAACTAAAGTTCTTTCAGATTAATCTTTAATCCCACTCTTTGTTAAACAGGATATGTCACTGCCTAAAAGCAATGTCGTGCATGCTTTTTTTTATATATATCTTGCCATCTTCGCACTAAGTAATGTTTTGTTCTTGTATCTTAAATAAAAGTGATCGTTATTTACAAACAATCTTTGTGTAAGACGGGGCTGTGAATGAATGTTTCAGAAGATCCACTTTTTTAGAATTGAAAAATTTCTGCAGCTGGGGTATTGCATACCAGTATATGTCCTCACAGTCCGTTATCATGTCAGAATTGTTTTTCTTCACTTTTCAGTTATTGTCGGAGCTCGAGAGGTTCAGTGTGAGAGTCTTGATGAAGTTATGTCCCTTCTGGAGTCTGGTTCGACCGCCAGGCACACTGGGTCAACACAGATGAATGAACAGTCGAGCCGGTCTCATTCCATCTTTACAGTGGTTATCGGTAGGTTAGACAACCTCATCATCATCATCTTTCTGTCTGTCTCTTTGTCTCTCTCTCTCTGTCTCTGCCTCTCTCTCTCTCTCTCTCTCTCTCTCTCTCTCTCTCTCTTTCTGTGTCTCTGCCTCTCTCTCTCTCTCTCTCTTTCTCTCTCTCTCTCTCTCTCTCTCTCTCTCTCTCTCTCTCTCTCTCTCTCTCTCTCTCTCTTTATCTTTCCTTTCTTTCTCTCTCTTTCCTCTCTGTATGTCTGTCTGTCTGTCTGTCTGTCTGTCTCTCTGTCTGTCTGTCTGTCTGTCTGTCTCTCTCTCTCTCTCTCTCTCTCTCTCTCTCTCTCTCTCTCTCTCTCTCTCTCTCTCTCTCTCTCTCTCTCTCTCTCTCTCTCTCTCTCTCTCCCTCTCTTTATCTCTCCCTCTCTCTATCTCTCCCTCATTCTTTATCACTTTCACTTTCTCTCTTTCTCCATTCCTCTTCCTCTCTCTCTGTCTTTCCCTTCTTCCCTTGCTGTCTGTCTAAAACACACATAATATACTTCCCCTACCACTTAAGACTTTGTAGTAATGTAAGCATTAGACAGTAGCATTATGCTGGCAATTGGCAGAAATGGAATCGCAGTGAGTGGTCACTGAATGCTCCTGAAAGGTTGTTAGACTTTATATCCCTCAGGGGCACTGAGATAAAACAGTGGGATGACTTTATGAGTCAAGGCTCTTTCAGAAGGGAATTTGACGGTAAATCGTCACTGAATTTAATTTTTTAGTTTCATCCTTTGTAAACTTTTTTGTTTATTAATTTTACGTCGATAAATGTGTAAGTGTTGTGTGTAATAGATAAGATTTTTGAAGCAGTAGCTCCAAGTAATTAAAAGTCACAATAAACTGTCAAAGGTCTGAGATATGATGTTAACATGTTTCTCCTCTTCCTCCTCCTTGGTGCCCCTCTCTTCAGTGGTGCCTTTCAAATTCCTTCAATGTTTATTTTATGATGATAAATGTGTGATTATTGATGTTTGTGTAATAAGTAGAATTTTTTAAGCTGTAGCTTCAAGTAACTTAAAGTCACAGCAACCTGTCAATGGTCTGAATTATGATGTCAACATGCACTCTCTATTCTTCTTCCTCCTCCTCCTTCTCCTTGGTGCAGAAGTTGTTACTTTAGAATTCCTTTACTAAAAAAAAGACTGAGTATTGTGGGAAGCAGGGTTCCCCTGAGAGAGATTTGCACGATTTTAAATGAGGAAAGAAAGAATCCTGAGGACAAATATTCTTGATTGTAGTTTTAAGGGGTATTAACTGACTTGTGAGAGTTTTTGCATTTATTTCAGGCCAGAAGTGGTCAGAGGCTGACGCAGGGACAGAGAAAAGGGCGAGCACTCCAGGTGATGGTGGCCTGGAACCACAGGATGAGCAAGGTCGGTATGAGGGATCTTGTATCTTGGATGCTTTTGAACGAAAGAAAATTTTATTTTTAACTTCAACAATAAAGTAAAACCAAGCCGTGCTGTGAACTAAAGCAAAAACAACCCACTTGAGTCCCATGCGCTCATATGACCTTATGTAGTTGCGAACGCGAAAAATTCCTAACAAACCAAGAAGGGAAACAAAATACCCTGCATGAGCTAGGTGCTAAGTCAATTGGACTGATAAGGTGACAGGCGTGATGTGTCTCCCCCCCCCTCCCCCACCACACACACACACACACACTCTCATGCTCACCTTATATTTTAGGTTCAATTCCTTTTATATACCTAGTATATAATGGACTCAAGATGTGTTAAATATTTGCTCTTATGACTTCAGTTCTGTTCATAATGTGTGGCTTATTTCTCAGAAATCGGCCACTACATGAGTGGAAAATTCAGCTTTGTGGACCTGGCTGGCTCAGAGCGTGCACACAAGACGGGAAACATTGGAGACAGATTCAAAGGTGAGAAAATACAATTTTTCTTTTTTAAAATGTAAGTTTTAATATTTAGTTGATTTTTTTGTGGATTGAAAGTTTTCTGTTTTTGATTAAACTTATTTAAAATCCTGGGTTTTCATGTTTTGTTCATTTTATGATGAGACTGGATTCCTGCCATTTAAAAGGAAACTTGGAAAGCCGTTGATTTCATCGAACTCATATCTGAATTGAATTGTTGAAGTGTATTTACTCACATACATAAAACTCTTGGAACATAAAAAGGACACCTGAAGAAGCAGAAGAGAAAAGAGTTTTTACTGTTTTGTTTTCTTTCAATCTCAGAATCTATTCACATCAACTCTGGTCTCCTGTCTGTGGGGAATGTGATCAGTGCCCTGGGAGATGGTAAGAAGAAATCCATGCACATTCCTTACAGAGACTCCAAGATCACTCGCTTGCTGAAGGTTGGTAGTATCCTGTTTTGTTCTAGTATAATAGTGATTATAATATCAAGATAATATCAAAATTAGTTTATAGAGAGTCTGTCCCAATGTGGTTCTTGGCACTTAAAGTTGTCCACAATAAATACAAAATTGGTAATTTTATTATACATACAACAGGGATAAATAGTACTCAGTGAGAATTTTCTGGCTGCTTGCTATGGGCGAAATTTTTTGGTTCAATATTATCTCTTACATTTAATGTTAAACGTAGAATTATGCAAGGCTTGTCTTTATTTCTGCTTGTGCCTGTGCACTGAAAAATTTTCAGGCTTTTTTGTCACCAGGCACCCTTATCCCTGATATAACATTCTGTGAATATATGCAACTACATGCACTTGCCTGTGGTTTAAGAATATGAATTCCCAGTCCTTTGACGTCACTCAGTGAGTGTTTTTTTTTTCCATTCCATCATGTCAACAGGATTCTCTTGGTGGTAATGCCAAAACTCTCATGATCTGTTGTATCAGCCCAGCCTCGTCAAATTTTGATGAAAGTTTGAATTCCCTCAAATATGCCAATAGGGTGAGTTGTTGTGTGTAGTAGGATAGGCACAATTAGGTAGTGTTCTTCTTTGCAGTTGGAAAGATATTTAAAATGTGTTTGCCTTTGTTGGTGGTGGCATATCATACGTATCAACTTATTTCCTTATCTTCAGTCTCTAGAATAATTTTCAGGTCTTGAAAATTGAATTTTGGTTTTACACAATGAAGAGAAGGTTTATAAGACTGAGTAAATTACATATTGTAGTTTTTTTCTGGTGGTGCTCACTTCTTGGGTGTCTGTGATTGTTAATACTAGTCAAAGGAATCCTTTGTATCTGGTTTCTGGTGAAGACTGCTTCTCAAGAAGTGATGCAAGATGGAATTTGTTTTGTGTAGCCTAAATCACAAATATCACTTAACCAGTAGACCATTGTCATTGGAATAAAAAATAATTTAGGAACTTTGGTATGGTGGTGACAATTTGTGATCCAAGAGTAAATAAGCACTGCAGTTTTATCATCAGAGGTTTTTATTCACAGGCGAAGAACATCAAGAACAAGCCGATCATCAACAGGGACATCCAGTCCATCCGATTTGAGGAAATGCAGTGTGAGATTAA